CCTTTGATTCATTACAAACACACCCCCAACTCCAACACATTCTCTACTAAATTTTCTTACATTTTACTCCCCACTTTTCCTGCTAATTAGGGGTAGAATAGTCATTTTACCCCTATGGAGAATTCTCTAGAACTCTCAAGAAACTTTTCTGCCGTCCCATCACCGCAGCGAAGCAATTTCCGTCGCCCCGGCAAAAAATTACAAAACTGACATCGCAACACAGAGTTGACGTCATCGCGGCAAAGACTGTAATACCAAGATTCCTCAAATCTCAACCAATTTCAAGGCAAACACTTAACCAACTCAACATACCATTTCAACCAAAGACCAACCAACCAAAAATAACAACATACAAACTCAATTGAAGCTGAATCAATAAACATTTAAGTAATACATCAAATCTTAACTACGCACCTCAAGTGGGGTGTTATAAAACCGGACCAGACCGTCCAGTCAGACTAGTTTGACTGATAACCAGCAGCATATCCAGTCCAGTATCATTAAAAAACCGTTAATTTCATTCAAACCGGATTGGACCGCGGTTGGACCGCCAAAATAATGCCAAATCACGGTCCGATCACAACTCAATCCCGTCAGATCCCGGTATCGTTCGAGGGAGAAAACACCACCATTAGACTTGATGGCATCTCCACGACAAAACCCAGCCATTTTCAGTCCCCTTCGTCACTCGCCATCCACCTAAAGTTCATGCGACAATTGGAATTCTTTTATTGATTCCGGCGAGTTCTGGCGCCAATGGAACTCCCTAGCACCACCATCAGATTCGCCGGCACCTATAAATCAAAAGCCCCATGATATCAAACCTCGATTGGCCGTCGATCGTCGCTGTCGCCACCATCATCAGTCTCTTCGCGCGACAGGGGTGTTTTGAAGAGATTTCAAACCTTAAGGAAGTATTTAGGGGTGTTTTTGATTAATTTCAAACATTCAGGGATTAAAAGTAATTTTACAAAATACGGTCCAATCGACCAATCCAACCGGTCAAACCAAAAACCGGACCCTTGAACGGGTCATAGTCTGGTCCAGTTTTTGGAACATTGGTGTGGACCTTGTCCTTCATTTTAAATGATTTTCAAATTTTCGATTCCATATTTCCATTACGTAATTACCATTTTGGATTCAATATGGGAGAATTGAATGTGCCAACTAAATAAATGTAATATTTGTGTCGCATGGAGCCAATTATAGATTTAATTTCTTTTTTGATGGTATAGTCTTTATGTTTAATATGTATATTATAGATTTAATATCTTTTTGGATGGTATATTACAATTTGAAGAAAATGGTAATAAGGACACAAAAAGACACAAAAGTACAAAACCCCCAAACGGGGAATTCGGGGAATAGATTTAATTTCTTTTTGAATAGTATATTATAATTTGGAAAAAATGGTAATAATGACACAAAAGTACAAAACCCCAAATGGGGAATTCGGGGAATCCCTGAATTCTCAGTTGCTTTATTCAAGGATTCCCTGAATTCCTTGAACAGGCGATGAGCCAGGATCAGGGAATCCCCTTAGGCTTTCAGGCTGGGGCCGGAGACCTCGTGCCCATCCCTAGTGATCACGTGTAGGAGATCCTTCAAAATAACAGGAAGATATCTGGTAAAGAATACAACATTAGGATGAATGTCGAGGCTTGTGTAACACACAATTTCCTTAAAACAGATTCACCTCCTTCACTCGGGTGCATAAGGATTTAAGCAGCGTCTGTTTTCTAAAATACAACGACAGATGAATAGAAAGAGAAACACCACTGAAATCCTTAAAAACTAGAGAGAATAGAAGATTGAAAGAGCTCTTAATTTTTGTGTGTGTTTAAAATGAGAGGAAAAACACTTTTTTATACTACTTAAGGTGGGATAAACATTGAATTCCACCCTTATTTACTTTAAAACCTTCTCCATTAATCCACTAACCTTTCATCTCTTAAATTCTTAACTTATACCACCACATTTCATTTCATTCAATTTATTTAATATATTCCTTATTCCAACACTCTTATGGCTTGTTGTGTTTGTATATTTGAGGAGGAGGAATAAAACAATCAAAACAACCAGAGCAGTAAAGGGTTCATTGGCGGCATTTGCATACAAGAATAAAACTATATACGAAATTATTTTAAGTGGTACACTTGGTTTTATGCTCATGCATCACTGGGTGGCCAAACACCTTTATAACAAACTCTTGGAACTTTTATCAAAAATATATTTTTCTTTATGGGCGAGCGAGAACCTTGTAGTAGAACAAGAATGTCGAAGGTGAACGAAAAAGAGACAACAATGAGAACAAATCAACAATAAAACAAATTACAAATAATAAACATAGAGAAAATAACATGCGTGATTTACCTTGGTTTATCCAATATGGGCTACGTCCAGCTGAGTCAATATTATTAGTTTACAATGAATGAATTGCCCTATGATTTAGTATCATACTTATAACAAGAGAAATATATGTTTATATACTAGTTTTAAGTGACAAAACCTAATTTTACAAGGATTTTTATTCCTAAACCTAACCCAATAAAGAATTAATAACTTAAAGAAATCCTACAACGGTTATACATGGAAAGTGCCCAAACCGCCTACAGGCCCAAGGGCGTTACCCCTGCAACCCCCGCCTGCTGACCGGCAACAGGACCCTCGAATGCATCTATATAACCCATTAATGTTGAAGTAGTCGACAACTTCAACAAAAGGGCATTGTAGTAAAAACTTTTATGTAGAGAATGCATTTTTATGAAATGATTGTGGGTGTTCAAGTATGTGGGTGGATATATCTATGGCATCAAGCGGAGGCCAAACCTTGAAAGAGAAGGGGAATTGAGGAAGTGGAGGTGAGAATAAAGTTGTTTTGGGTTGGTGGTGGCGGTATATGAGCACAAGAAGCAGGAAGGTTCATGAATGAAGCTGTCAATTTATGATTGAAAAGTGGCAGTCACGAATGAACATAACCGAATGAAAATTCAGCATATTAGCATATTCTATGCATCATCCACCTACCATTTATGATTGGGCCATTCTAAGATATATATTAGTATATTAGTATATTCGATCAATCAATTGAAAATTGCATATATTTATAAGATATATATGCATTCGTGTGTATATATATANGGGCCCGAAGACCTCGTGCCCATCCCTAGTGATCACGTGTAGGAGATCCTTCAAAATAACATGACGATATCCGATAAAGAATATAATATTAGGATGAATGCCGAGGCTTGTGTAACACACAATTTCCTTAAAACAGATTCACCTCCTTCACTCGGGTGCATAAGGATTTAAGTAGCGTCTGTTTTCTAAAATACAATGACAGATGAATAGAAAGAGAAACACCACTGAAATCTTTAAAAACTAGAGAGAATAAAAGATTGAAAGAGCTCTTAATTTTTGTGTGTGTTTAAAATGAGAGGGAAAACACCTTTTTATACTACTTAAGGTGGGATTAACATTGAATTCCACCCTTATTTACTTTAAAACCTTCTCCATTAATTCACTAACCTTTCATCTTTCAAATTCTTAACTTATACCACCACATTTCATTTCATTCAATTTATTTAATATATTCCTTATTCCAACACTCTTATGCCTTGTTGTGTTTGTATATTTGAGGAGGAGGAATAAAACAATCAAAACAACCAAAGCAGTAGAGGGTCCATTGGCGGCATTTGCATACATGAATAAAACTGTATACGGAATTATTTTAAGTGGCAGACTTGGTTTTATGCTCATGCATCACTTGGTGGCCAAACACCTTTATAACAAACTCTTGGAACTTTTATCAAAAATATATTTTTCTTTATGGGCGAGCGAGAACCTTGTAGTAGAACAAGAATGTCGAAGGTGAATGAAAAAGAGACAACGACAAGAACAAATCAATAATAAAGCAAATCACAGATAATAAACATAGAGAAAATAACACGCGTAATTTATATTGGTTCACCTAATATGGGTTACGTCCAGCCGAGTCAATATTATTGTAATACTTCCTCTCCTCTTTCGTTTACAATGAATGAATTGTTCTATGATTTAGTGTCACACTCATAACAAGAGAAAAATATGTTTATATACCAAGTTTAAGTGACAAAATCTAATTTTACAAGGATTTCTATTCCTAAGCCCAACCCAATTAGGAATTAATAACTTTAAGAAATCCTACAGTGGTTATCTATGAAAAATGCTCAAACTGCCTATAGGCCTAGGGGCACTGCCCCCACGACCCCCGCCCGTTGACCTAGCGACGAGACCCCCAATTGCATCTGCGTAATCTATTAATGTTTAAATAGTCGACAACTCCAATAAAAAAGGCATTATAGTAAAAACATTTTAAGTAGAGAATGCATTTTATGAAGTGATTGTGGGTGCTGAAGTATGTGGGTGGGTATATCTATGGCATCAACCGGAGGCCAAAACCTTGGAAGAGAAGGGGAATTGAGGAAGTGGAGGTGAGAATAAAGTTGTTTTGGGTTGGTGGTCCGGTATATGCGCACAAGAAGCAGGAAGGTTCATGAAGGAAGCTGTCAATTTAAGATTGAAAAGTGGCAGTCACGAATGAACATAGTCGAATGAAAATTCAGCATATTAGTATATTCCATGCATCATCCACCTACCATTTATGATTGGGCCATTCTAACCTTGTTATCTATTGTTCTTGCAATCATATCCTTCTCTAATTCATTATAAGAGAAATCATTGATTATAACGATTATATATACATTCGACCAATTAATTGAAAATTACATATATTTATGAGATATATATATACATTCGTGTATATATATATATATTCTCTGAGACATGATTCATATATATTTATGAGATGTATATACATTCGTATATATTTATAAGATATATCTACGGCTCTACCCACTTAGCTAAGGAAAAAGAGAGAGCAAACGACACCGTTTGCTGAGACATGATTCACTTAGAACAGTAGTAAAAGTGAATCTGATGAAATGGAAGGAAGGGCAGTTATGTCACCAAAATCTTGTATAGAAACTCGTGTATGGTCTTCTTCTGTTGGCTCAGCTACGTGAAAGCTCAGAAGGACACAAACCCATCATCATAAACAACATTATTATTATCATTATTATAGTTCTTTCTTTTTAATCTTTTAATATGGCAGATAATGGTAAGACACTAAGACCCCATATCTTTTCTCTTAATTTTTCTTTCGTTTTTCTGTCTGGGATTGTTATCTAAATGCACTTGGTTTGCTTTGCAAATTCTTTTGGTTTGTAGATTCTCTTGCTCAGTTCTTGGCCACTGCTGTTGATGCGGCTAAGAAGGCTGGCGAGGTCAGTTCAGCTTTGAGAAATTTTTATATTTTTTGTTTTCCAATTCTCAATTTTTCAAGCATTTCTTTGTTATGAACAGATAATCCGTAATGGGTTCTACAAGACCAAGCATGTGGAGAATAAGGGCCGGGTATCTCTTTCTGCTTTGTTCTTTTTTCGTTTTTTGGTTGTTTTTATTGTTGAAAAAATTATGCTTTGGATCTTTTAGTGTATGGTAATTATGAGTCTGCGATTGGAATTTGTATTATGATAAAGTTTATGCAATGCTAATTGGTAGCTTAATTATTTTGAGTTTCGCCCAAATTAGATGGAACATTAAGAAGAGATTAGTGTTCTGCTGGTGGGTGATCATACAACTGAGGAAGTGTTGATGGAATTGAGAAGAATGAACTTTGAAGGACGGAATTGTAGTTTGATTATTTAAGACCAAGAATTATTTAGATGAATACCATGGAAAAGATAAAGAGTAGTCGGAAAAAATTAGAATCTCCATATTTTGCTAGAATTTAATTCGTGAGTTAAACTCACATTTGAATTATCTGGTGATAGTAAATTTGAAACCTACATTTACTTTGAAGTCATACCAATTAGAACATACAGAAAATAAGAATGAAGATGTTTACTCTCAATTATTCTTCTTTATTTTTCTTGGTGATTAGTTGCTGCGTTTCATGAAAGACTTGTAAACTTAAAAAGGTAAAGGCGCGAGCAAGTTTATCAGGATGCAAAGGAACTTAACTGACATAATTGAAATTGCTCGCTAATTTCCACTTCCACTTAAAACTAACGAACAAATCTATTGTTTATGATGGCTAAGTTGGAAAAAAGAAATTGAAAGAACAAGGGTAGAAAAAGTTAAAAACTTTAAGTAATTTTACTAGTTTGAATTTCTAATGACTTCTTCTAATCATTGTAAACTTTACTGCTTACATGCAGGTGGATTTGGTCACAGAAACTGATAAGACATGTGAAGATCTCATATTTAATCACCTCAAGGAGAATTTTCCCACACATAAGGTTATCTCCTATTTCTACAATTTTCAATGAATGTATATACAAGAATTTAGCAATCGATAGCAACAGAATGTCTTGTCTCCTTAAAATGGACATTAAAGTTTTGATCTTTGACTGGAGTTTATCTTAGTTCATTGGAGAAGAAACCACTGCCGCTTGTGGTGCCACAGAGTTGACTGATGAACCGACTTGGATTGTTGATCCCCTTGATGGAACAACTAACTTTGTGCATGGGTATATATCATTTTTATTTACTGTGGATGATTGATTTCTTGTTTCTTTAATCAATAAATTTCTTTTTTTGATATTTTTGCAACATCGTTATTTCTAGGTTTCCCTTCGTGTGTGTGTCTATTGGTCTTACAATTGGAAAGATTCCTACTGTTGGGGTCGTCTATAATCCAATAATGGATGAGGTGAGTATTCTTGTCCTCCATAAGTTTTATGAGCGGTCAACCTTTAAAGTCATTTTCTTGAGGGCTTACTACTATAGGTTACCCTAGCATATGTCACTTTTCTTAGAAATTCTCATATACAAATTGCAAAGATAGGTAAAGTTCCTTGGACTTAATATTTGATAATAACCTTTTTGAGTTACATTGACATTTCAAATTGAAGAGAATCAATATTGTGTATTGTTAAAATTTCTTGGTGGAGCAAGTGTATAATTGGCTTTGTTATTTGTAGCTTTTTACTGGTATCCATGGACAAGGTGCTTTTCTGAATGGAAAGCCTATAAAAGGTCAGTTCATTATTTTCTATATGCGACTTTCAATTCTTTTTTACTTTTTATTACCAATTTTGTCTTCCAATGAATTTTTAACAGCTGAATGCTTTTGTTTTGGAAATTTGCAGTATCATCTCAAAGTGAACTTGTGAAGTCTCTCCTTGCAACAGAGGTATTTGAGCATTTGATACAAATCTGATTATTGACTTCTACTTGTGTTGTTTTCTTGAGCATAACCGTTGTTTTTGAGTTTATATCACTGTGTAAAAAATAGAAGTAGACAAGACTGCAATTATTTGGTGGAATTTCTGTCTGTAAATGCAAAGGGCTGTATCCTAGTTATATGGGTAGCTACAGAAACCTTGCCTACAATTCCAACCTGCTGAAAGTTACCATATAGATTCAAGCATGTCATCTAAAAGATAATATACTAATTCTATTCTTCTAACTTAGAGACCTTCCAATTATAAATTTCAATTTGTTGGACAAGACAAGTCAAGTCAATAATACTATATGAGATATAATTTCTGCTTCAGCATCCTTGGTTGTATATCCAATTTTAGTTTCTTGAGGTTTTTTGCGATGCCCCATATCTTCAGCATAGTCTACTGAATGATGGTAATATTGCTGCCAAAACATCATTTATATTGCCTTTGACCTTCTGCGCATACTTCTACTCACTTCTATTTTACATCATTTCATCTTAGTCCCTGAATAATGACCCAACTTGTTGACATCCTTTATCAAGGTTTAAATTCTAATTTGTCTTTATTGATATAAAACCAGGTTATTCTCTCCGAAACATGGAATTCAGTGATTCAACCCCCTTAAGAAACATTGAGTTCTAATTGTTTAGTGGCTTAAAAAATACACATGCCTTGCCAATGAGATGAATTGATAACTAGCAAAGCACATTAGAATTCAAGCAAAAACATAGAGTTTATGAAAGGCAATAGTCTTGTCTTGGAGACTTCTCTTGTGCAGTGTTCAATTTTCATTTGTAAAACTGGACTTTCTGGCATTTGTTGCCTTAAAATTTTCCAGTGAGAATGCACTGATTTTCTCTGTAATTATAGTTTCCGATATCCAAACATCTTATTGCGTAGCTCCTCCCTATTGTGTCTAAGATTGCATGAATAGTTTCAGAGCAACTTCGATTCAAAACTTTTCTCATCTCTGGAATACTGATAATTGCTTTCAGAATGTTTTTTCTGATTATTATTGTTTCAAGCATTACCCTGCATCTTGTTGAAAAGTTACCGTAATTTTAATATCATGTTATTAACTAATAAAAATTTATCCTACTGAGAGAGCAGGCTGGTACAAAGCGTGACAAGGCAACTTTGGATGCTACTACAAATAGAATCAATAGCTTGCTTTCTAAGGTAAAACCAAACACTTGAATGTAAGCTTCTTAAATTTTCTAATCCGCTTCCATAAATATAAGAGTAGTTGGTCTTTTCACCAGGTGCGATCCATTCGGATGAGTGGCTCCTGTGCATTGAATCTTTGTGGAATTGCGTGTGGAAGGCTTGATCTGTTTTATGAACTTGGTTTTGGAGGTCCATGGTAAGATTGTGTTTTCTCTCCTTTTCTTAGTTAAGTTAAAAGTGATACTCAACTAATAGTCTGTTCTTCTCTCAGGGATGTAACAGGTGGCGTTGTGATTGTCCAAGAAGCTGGAGGAGTTGTGTATGATCCGTAAGTAAAGACATAATACCATTTTTTTTCCTTTTATTTTACTCACCAAAATTTAATAGAGAAGTTGAAAAGTTATTAGACAATTTGGCCCTGCCAAGGAACTTTTTCATTACAGCATTCTGATCCCATTCAAGATCAAATACTGTTTATTTAGGACCCTCTAAAGCTTAAATCCTTGTTTGGTGGGAGAAAATATGTCTGAACATTTTGGTCCCTCTCTTGTAGATATAGTGTTGCTCATCTGAATTGTCCCCTTTCAACTATTTTTCTTTCTATCAATATTCTTGAGAGTTGACTAATTGTTAATTTATCTACATAATTTCTTAGAAACTGGTAAGCTGTATCTTTACTCATCGGACTATGGATCATAGTCTAAGGAAGGTGTTTGAAATTTTGATGAACTTTTCATCTCAACAATCCGCAATGACAATACTTCTGATTTACCCTCTGACTGTTCGTATACATCTTTTATTTATCTTTGTCATGTGGCACTTCCAAATCATTTGAGTTTAAATCTTTTGAACTGCATTCTGGCAATTTTTTTGTACAGTGTAAGGACTTCCACTAAATATGTTCAAATGTTATGCATATGTTTAGATTTTGATGGTTGCTCTTTTTCATCAGATCTGGTAAAGATTTTGACATCACTGCTCAGCGAGTTGCAGCTTCGAACCCTTTGCTCAAGGAAGTGTTTGTTGAGGCTTTGAAGCAATCAGAATGAAAAATCATTGATAAATTAATAAATCTAGAAGTTACCTCTTATTTTATATGATCTAGTTTACCCTCTCTTGGTGTATTCTTGATCCCATCATGTAGTTCCAAAGAAGAGCCATTTATTGAGAGTGTAATTTTAATGAAATTGGCCTTAAGCCATTGGGATCATTTGTAGAATCCATTTGAATCAGACAACTCACATTGCCTGCAATACAAATTTGCTTGAAATTGTTGCATGAACTTCTCAGCTCACTGGGGAATCCCTGAAAGTCAGTCCTAATACTAGCATTTGTCAAGCAATTCACTTTCTTTACTTCTAGAATGTAAAATTAAATTACTAAAAGCTTTCGAATCTCAAAAGGGCATATCGAAAAAGAAAGAAGTTGTTTGTGGTGACTAGAGAGATTCAAGGGGTTTCTTTGTGGTCACACCACATGTTTGATTTTCCAACTTTTTTAGTTTCAAGCAACTGAAAAACAAGTACATGACACCATTTTTGGTTGCTTGAATGTTAAATTAAGAAATTAGACAGCTAGAATTTGACATAGTCACCCACCAATGGGTAGCCCTTCATTAAGTGCGAACTAAAGGAGTTGCAAATGGTCCAACCTATAGTTCTAGATTTGATTCCCTGTTGGACGCAAATGTAGTACCTGTATCCATGATTTACTAGAGGGCTATGGCGGTTGGTTTCTATAGGATATCTCTCCTGAGAATTATTTGAGGTGTATGTAAATTGTTCTTATACCTCTGTCATCAAAAAAGAAAAAAAAAATGACCTAGTCTATGTCATCCATGGAAAACTTGTGAACACATCCCAAATATACTAAAACTGAACCCCATCATGGAATAGTAAAAGATCAGTACTAAATTCTGCAGTTCTGTATTTTAATTCGCAGCAAGACCAAATAGTTGTGCATCTCAAGAACCCATATACAGTTTACTAACATGAATACCATTAGAATTGAGATGACCCAAAAAAAAAAGGGATGAAAAGTGTAAAATGTATAATGTATAATGCACATATAAAAAACAAGAGTACAATAAAATAATAATAATAAAATGAACTGATACATGGATTTAAAAGCAACATGTAACATATAATTTCCAAGCAAAACTAGTCCTACCAGGGCCTGCTCTATGCAAGAAGAAAAGCACCTGTGAAAGAGAAAAATACATTAAGCAAACTTGTTTTATGCCCTTCTACCACTATACCCATTTGCTCCATTTCCAAAAATCTTGTCAGAATTTTCTTCCCTTTTTCTCTTGATCACTATAATCCAAGTAAAACCTTCCAACACCACAGCGATAGCACCCAAAGCTATGATAATTCCAGTGTAGGCATGCTTCCAGGCATCCCCCGGTTTCAGGATTTGGAATCCTTTGAATATGTTAACCACACTCAGAATTATGACTGTGTATCCACAAGCGTGGTGATAGATATTCCAGAAAATTCTGTATTTGTGATCTGGTTTTGGCCTTAGAAGCAACGCAAACGCCTATAGAAAGCGAAAATTTTCTCTTAGAACACATCAAACAGATTGTTGAAATTAGAGTTACTATACTATGAAATTAATGAACTTTTTGAGTACCTGAAGTGTTCCAAGGCAGAAGAGGGCTATGCCAATATTCCTATGGGTTGAATATTCAATTCCAGCGGATTCAGATCCGAGTTTGAGACCGGTTCCCCATCCGGCGACACCGATAATATATGCTGATGCTTGGCAACCAACATGAAGGTAAAACCAGGTAGGCCCTAAAGAAGGTTTAAACACCTTCAAATACCTTGCAAAAATAGCCCCGGCTGGCATCATAACACCCCAACTAACCGCGTTCAGAATCCCATGAATCTGCAGTTTTTCAATGTTGCAAAAGGAAGCAACAGGTATTAAAATATTATCTTTCATTTGAGTTACTTCTAAGCAAGGCAAACCATTTGTTGATCAATCAAACTAAGAACAAATAAATCAGAAACAAATAAATGAAGGTGTTTGATTGAAATCACTTACATTTCTGTCTCTTTTTTTCGAGTTTCCTCCACCAGAAGATGAAGCAGTACCAGAAAGAAGATCCAATTTCCCCATGGATTGAACATTTCCACCACTAGTACTATGCATTTGAGGAACATTATCGGAAAGATGACCCTCCTGCCAAACTTGATTCACAGTAGTGTTACCTTTACCAAGCGCCAATGTAGCAAAAATGGTCATCTCGTTCTTGGCAAACGTTGCAGTCAAATCCGAGACCTCGAAACTGAGCTTCCCCTCTTCCAAACTCGTTTTATATTGAGTAACCGGGGAAGTATAAGCCTTCATTTTTCCATCAGCTTGTTGGTATGCCACCAGAGCCTGAGAACCAACCATCCCGGTTGCAGTAGGATTAATGGCCCAAGCTATCCAACTTGAAGCCGTCATCCCCGTCCTCCTGAACGCAACATCAAGCTTCCCTGATGAAGATTCATAATTGTAATGGATAAAAGAGTTCAACACAGGAAGATCAATACACGAGTCAAACTGACGGTTTTCAGAGAAGGAATATTTGCCACAAGCTTGCTGAGCAAACGAAGATGATACAACACACACCAAAACTGAGACAAATAACACAATATTCAACATTTCCCCCATGAATGAAGGAATCCCGAATGAATGATTAAAGTCCCTTTTTTTGCAGCAGAATCTCAGAGCGGGACTCTATGTAACAGAAGAAGCAAAATATAGAACAGAAACGTGATTATAAAACACTAATTAACTTCTCCTATACTAGAAAAACGTGTGTGGCGATTAAGGTTGATGCTAATAATAAGATTACAGCTTGAAATGAAGCTTCTATATATAAAATCTGCGGCAAACTTTAAGAGGGTTGTTGGCTAATCTTTTGCGGAAGCTTCCATTCACAAGCAATCTTCGTTTCCTATTTTTATATTGCATGAAACAAGGTTATATTTATGTATATATATGTATATATTTCTTTTTTGTTTTTGTTTCCATTTTCAACCACCATTTTGTTTCCCCACCAGCCTGTGCCACTACCAACTTCATGAACACATGTACTAATTATATACAAGCTCTTGAGCTTTGTTTCAGTCATGAACGTAACCAGGAATTTAGTAATAATTAATTAAGATTAGAGGAGGGATTAACATGTTTTGAAAGTTTGGTTATGGTTGGAAGTGTCATGTAACATGATGAAATTGAGAGATTCATGTATTTAATTTGAGTTTAGGAATTAATTCAAACATCCACATGCCAAACAATAAAGTCTTTTGGGTCAAATTTTTAGACAGCTTGAAAATTATATTCCGATAATGTTATCGGATCAATTTTAGTCATCTTCAGAGGAGACTAGTGTATCAATCCGTTGTCACGGTCCCTCACTTAAACTGCGGATGTTCAGATAGTAAATCTAACTTTAATCTGTTCATTTATTCATACTATCTTTAATTCGTCTTAATCATCTGTGTTATCCATTGTCCACAGCCACGGATGAGTGAATATGACAACATGAACAAAAATTTTCACCTTTTGGAGAGAGGATTTATTCGATTTAAGAGAAAATATGATACAATAAAAATTTTATTATTTGATAAAAAAAAGTTTTAAAATAAATTATTTACTATTATTTAACTTAATAAAAAGAAAAATAATACATATATGATATGATATTATTGGTCGGGAACAAATAACAGCAGAATAATTGGGAATTTTGGGGTGGGTTGAGTTAAGCCACCGAAACGAACCGTTTTAACTTTTTTAAGTGGGGGGTTTTGTTGGAGTTAGGTGTATGGTTGGACAGGTGGGGAGCTTTTCCTCGGTCAAACAATACCCATTTCAAGGTAACAAAATATCTACCGCCCTCGTGGTAGGGCCAGATTGCCACGTGGAAGTTCAACTTGGTCAAAAAGGCCAAAAAGTAACGCGGTGGCGTTATCCTATTGGCTGGAAAAAAATATTTTGGGTGCCAAAGAGATACCCGCCCCACTACCAGTATTTGTCTTTACTCTTCAGAAACCACCAAACGTTGTCGTTCTTGTCTCGCCCTCTGCTGTCTCCGCGTTGTCCACTTGTCCCCCGACCGGACGGCGCCGTATTGGGGTATTCTCTAATTATGATAATTAAGTTATTAAAAAGGATCTATGCTTAATTAGTGTGATATATTTCTAAACAAAATCCAATTATTTATTGAATTATGTTGGATAATACAAGGTTTCAAATTCAAATATTACTCAAGGTGATCATATGCTCCCTTTATTCAGATTCTTTGATATCACCAATAATATAACGTCACAATTTACGATATTTCGAGAAATTCCTCATAGCCTAACGTCATTCGACGTAATTGTTTCATAAAAATAACATCAATAGATCAGTCTAGCAACCTTAGAAGAAGGCATGTTAGAACACATTAACACCAAAAACAAATAACACCCAATAAACACAAATACTCTTTAGTGCAAATTACTGCACCAGCCAAACAGCGACCAAACAGCAAATAACAACACCGACACATAACACAAATTTCAAAACAGTCTTACAATTTTCTAATCCTACAAACATACTCCTAACAAAACCCTATAGGTTTGAAACATTACAAATAGGCCCCCCATCTAATGTTTCCTGGGAGGTCTCTATTTTGCTGTTTATTTTGTGGGTTATTTTGGTAACCTATGAGACGAATCATAATGAATTATAATGATGATGGATAGCTAATAATAATTAATATTAAGGAAATCATGCATGGAGTTTTTTCTAAGCGTAAGCATGATATTATCAAAACGTCACACAATAAATATAATTAATCCAATCGATATCCATGCAAAGAATGTAGAAGAAACCAACTTCCTCTTAACATCATCTGTTTCACAGTTAAATTATTTAATTCATTTTAAGTTAACAAATCACTAACCATGTCACTGTTCTTCTAATTGATTAAATCGTTGCAGATTTCTTGTGGCTTTCAGTCACACATCCTCCTATCCTTATCCTCTCATGCAACCATCAACATTTATCAAACAATCAAACAATTTTATTAAAGGATCGATAAATTATTACTAAGTTCATTATAAACTACGTCTAAATATACAATTAAAATCGTCATTTTGTTTGGTTAGGTGGACCAACGTCTTGTTGTGGCACTGGCCAACGGATAGAGCCATTGTAACGCCTACATTGAGGTATGTAGCTTTACGTATTCCCTAATACCCTTAGTTGAATTTTGTTAAAGTTATCTTGAACAAGTGTGAAGAAAATGCCTTAAAATTTTATTAGGGGTAAAATGGTCTTTTTACTCATAATTAGTTGAAAAAATGGAAAGTGAAAAGAGATAGAATTTCATGGAGAAGTTAATAAAAATAAGGACATTATTGTAATTAACTAAGGGACATAGATAGAATTTCATAGAAAGTGCAAGGGCAAAATGAGAAAGTAGAAGTAATAAATGAAATATTTTCGTAATATTTATATTTAGTGAGTTTTACTGTTTATTTTACGAGTATACTAGCTAGAGAGAGAGTCATTACAATCATCTCAAACTGTGGGTGTAAGACTGATGATTTAAGAAAATAAGATTGTGTTTCTACTACAAGTTATAACTTTTGGTATGGTGTAAGCGTTTGATCCTAACAAGTGTATCACAGATAGCTCGGTCCTAACAGTTTTCTAGTTCCGAAAAATTGTATGATTCTATAGAGCTCTCCAAAAACTATTCCTTATAGATGCATAAACAATACGTTGACGTGCACTTATGCTTTTGAAATCCTTGATGATTTATTAATTAATATTATTCAAAATCTTTAGGGGTTTGGTGAGATTATGACTGAAAGTGGTGGGGGCTTAAATGACCTAAAATTGTTAAATAGGGCTTACGTAGAAGTTTTATAAAACTTCTCAACCATAAATTTCTAACTCATAATCTACCTCAAGATTCTAACACTTCAACTACCATTTTTCTAATCTTTCTTCAACCTCACACTCTTCCATTTCTATGGCGGCTTTATTAGTACGTTCATCAACTTAAACAAACCCAGCAACAAACTTTACTTTATTTCGGGATGCCAATGGCTCCTCTCAATTCTTTGATTTAGGTTCAGTGTTTTAATCATTCCTACATGGGCTTGTGATAGTTTTAATCTTTATACTATTTAACACAATGTTGGAATATAAAAGAATTTGTTAAGTATAATTTTTTTGAAAATTATAGAGTACCCCACTAATCATGTCTAATCATATGATAAACCTTGGTTTTAAAACCGAGATCAGACCGATCAGGAACAAGTTCTTAATCCGATCCATAGAATGGCTAAAACCTGTTTTAGCCATTCGATCTGATTGACTTGGGGTTGAACCGATTGGAATAATGTTGAATCGTTGTTCAATCGTCAGGCTAGAGAACCAGATTGCACAAGAATGCTCGTTCTAGGATAAGTAACACCAATTCATGTGCAATGAATGCCCGTTACCAACAAGTGGAACACCTGTCAGAATTCAAATTTTACAAATTATTAGAGTTTCAAAATTTTATTATGTCATGTTGACATCAGCATAACGTCACCAGTCCGACGCGGGGACCAACCCCTTGACCAGGTTAAGGCCCGATCTGGGTATAAAAACATTGTGATAAACCAAAACAAAACAAAGATAAAGGGTTCTTAAGTCATGTTATCTAGCAAAGAGTCTCATTATGAAAATTTCAATCAATGATCCCCACATAATAAAGGAATTACCCTACCTTGTTCCAAATCCCCAAGCCCAGATGTGATGGGTCACTGCCATTTAGCCTTAGAAAATCATATACAAGATAAGCCTGGCCCAGTACATATCTAACCTTAAAAGCAACCTTTAACATGGAAAGGTGGGCCTAATCAACCCATACCAACAATCACGAGAAAGCCTTCGACAAACCCGTCCAACATGTGGTCGATTAATCAAAACATGCATATCACATCGTTCATAACATTTTATATATAGTCTCTTCTTTTTTGGTTTCTCGCACTTGAACCCACGTACCGAAAACTTTCTCAACAGTGGGAAGTATGGTGTTCTTTGGGATACCATTTATCACCAAAAGAACTTGATGAGGCTTTATGCTTTGCTTCATGCATATGCCAAACCCAAAAGGTGGGTGCCATTACCCAAATCGTGCGTTGTTTACCACCAAGCGAATCTGAACTTGTAGACTGTCCCAAACCCACCACGCCAATGCCAATGCCCGTGCCCCTAAATGTGGCCCTCCCTTACTAAAAGTTTTTGTCTCCCTTACCCTACCCCATATAAAAACCTCATTTGCATCTCATATTCATTGCCATTAGTCCATGTCTAGCCGACGATTATCTTAAACGGTTGAAATATCTTCACTTAAAAAACCTTAAACAAATTAATAATCAAATTTCGTTTCAAAATAGATGATATTACCATTTGGATCTGAAACCTACAAGCGGATGCTTATGACTTTGATAACCATACTAGTGATTTAGAGACCTCTCAAAAAGTACTTAGTGCCATTTTGAGCAACTCTATATCCCTTTTCTTTGGTATTTTTAGACTGTTATGACTTGAATGCAATTGCAATTGCTTCAGTTACTTTACAATTCAAATCATGGTTGGACAATTTCATTTTTTTTTAATTAAAAATGGTTGTTATAGAAGCTCGGTAGTTTAAATTTTAATAATTAAAAAAAATGGTTGTTACATGTAAGAGGCAAGTATAAAATTGGCTGTTTTATTCTCTTTTATGCCGTGACAATTTCCTACTTGAGAGAATTCATTTTGTCTCTACATTTTTATTTTTTCCAGTTCTCCTTCACCATTTCTATTTTATCTTATACTGTTCTAAGCTTCTATTAAAGATTGCACTTTAAATAGAAGCTCGTCATTGTACCGTGGAGGTCAGTCCGCATCTGAGCCATTTGCATCGAGAAGATCCTTCCAATGGGATGGAAATCTGATCTTAAAGATAGTATTTTTGTACGCCTAGATGCTGCTGTGTTCGTTGCTGTTTTACTGCTGTTTTGTCTACTGTTTCACTGCTGTGTTTGTTTCTGTTTCACTGTTGTTTCGCTGCTGTTTTGCTGCTGTCTCTCCGTTGGTTTTTATGCTGTTTTCCTACTGTTCTGCCTGTTTTGTTGCTCTTCTTCCACCGTTTTGCTGCTAATTATTATTAAAATTCAACACGAATCACTACCCAAAACTTTATTGCAAATTCTGTATGCTTTCATGTGATTGAACTGATCATGAAGTGACTCGAATCTATCTATTGACCAATGTTTGATGAAATGCCACATAGAGAGAGCACAAATTTTGGAATGAGGTCCAGCCAGCCAGCAGTTGTTTCAAACTTTCAACTAAAGAATCATTAATCTGGGTCGGTGCCACGTGTCATCGATTTTGTAGAACTATGACGCTTATTCATTCATTAAATTGATGCTGCATTGATTTAATCTCAACACAAACCCTTTGAGTTGTCAATGTTTTAAATGCATAAAAAAAGGCGATTTGATAGCACTTTTGTTGACAAAATTGAATGGTTTATATTGAATGCCCCGATTTTGAAAGAGACTTTAGTGTCCCATATACATGATGTTTTCTACAAGCCTACGTATTCGATGGCCAAAAATCAAAATAAGATAATACAAACAATAGAAAAACCCAGAAGGTAGAAAATCCTCAAAAAAAAAGTCTAGGATTGGGTTGTGGGGATGGAAAAAAATCCAAGAATTATCGAGTATGATACCGACGGTGGGTATTTCATTCTCATCCCTAAAATACCCACCCCAGCCGAAGGGCGAAAGGGGACAAAAGATGAAGGTCCCCATCCTCGTCCCCATAAATTGCCAACCCTAGTTGTTTCTCTCCTTTTTCTTTTTTTTTTTTCCCCTTTATCTAAAAATGTTAAGTTATATGTATTAGTTCTCACATTTGGACGGTTCGGAGTCTATAATGATTTTACTTGTATACACATCAAAAACAGCTCATGAAAGAAACGATAAAATTGACAAGTTATCGATCATTATTCAGTCGACCTAATGAATTACTACCATGATAAGAGTAGTCAACTTAATTCCTTTTTGTCAATGTGAACTCAAAGCTCAAGATCATTGACTAAAAGGGTTACTTACATTTACACAACATTAGCAGATTTGACCTAATTCTCAGTCAAACATACAACTACTATAAAAAGCCCCCTTCTAGAAGCTAACAGAGCTTTATCTCTTTAATTAAGAATATTAATTACCCTAATAAGCCTTATCTTTGAAATAAAGTATTCTTGATGCCAACCACTGACAACCACGTGTGAAATTTTTAGTCTGCGCCAACCATCATTAATCCCATAAACTCTGATTAAAGCAAAATCATGATTAATTAAACCTTAATCTTACTTTAATCCCATCCACTCTCCCCCTATCGTGTTTATTTACGTGTTACAAGCCTTCTTCTTATCCTTCTTCTTCTTCTTCTTTGATCATGTTTTAAACCTTCTTTGACTCATTACCATTTCTAGGTATAAAATGTTTCAATTACGTGTAAAGGTAAATATGACTTCACGTCGTTATCGATTATCACTTAAATATATCCCTTTTTTAATAAAAAATAATATCTTAAACCTTATTGTCATGTCTATAAATTCTAGTTGGTTTATATTTATTTGTTGGTGAAAAGATAGATCAACAATACATTTGTTAAAATTCAAAACAAACGTGGAACCATACGTTAAGATAACGTCAGAGTATAAGTTAAAAGAAGAAGAAATTGATAAATTTATTGTAAAGGTAGTTATTAGAATAGTCAAATGAATACTGATCGATAACTTTTTGGATATGCCTAAAGGTAAATAACCCCTAAAGTTTCAAAAATGTTTTCAACCTTTTATAACGTTTATAAAATTTATTTGGAATACCTTTTGATAGAAAGGTTAGCGATACTTAACAAACGTCAAGGTATACGTAAAGTGAACGTCACGACATATGTTAGAAGGAGATGAAGTCGATAAAATGTATACTACGACTCTACGAGTAACTAATAAAATGGTCAAATTGACCTAAATTCAATCTATAAATAGCATAAATTCAAGGCATGCTTAAACCACCCAACTCCTTTTACATATTTAAAACCCCAAAAAATAATTAATAAAATGAAACTCATTATTTGACTTTGTAAACAAAATTAAAACCAAAATTAATAATAACAATAATTAAGAATATTAATTAATAATAACGTCAGAGTATAAGTTAAAAGAATAAGAAATTGATAAATTTATTGGAAAGGCAGTTATTAGAATAGTCAAATGAACCCTGATCAATAACTTTTTCGATACGTGTAAAGGTAAATAACCCCTAAAGTTAACCCTTTTTCAATCAAAAACGTTTTCAACCTTTTATAACGTATATAAAATTTATTTGGAATACCTTTTGGTAGAAAGGTTAACGATACTTAACAAACGTCAAGATATACATAAAGTGAACGTCATGACATATGTTAGAAGGAGATGAAGTCGATAAAATATATACTATGACTCTACGAGTAACTAATAAAATGGTCAAATTGACCTAAATTCAATCTAGAAATAGCATAAATTCAAGGCATGCTTAAACCACCCAACTCCTTTTACATATTTAAAACAAATGAAACTCAAATTATTTGACTTTGTAAACAAAATTAAATCATTAATTATAATTAATTAATAATAATAATAATAATTAAGAAGGGACTATAGACAAACACGATCTTTTCAATCTATAATTAGAAAGTGCAGTTAGGGCGCGATACAACTCAGCATGTCTCATAATAAATAAAATAAAATAAATAAAATCATTAATTAATTATTATAATTATTGTTAACTCATTAATTATGTATTTTAATACACTTGTACATTGGTTGCATCGTACATGACAAATTATATAAAATATCAAATTAAGACGTATACACTAAGGGAAGATCATGAACATTAATTTAAAATTAATTCTCATAAGATAAGATATATTCATGTATCTAGAAATTAATTTAAATTAAATTAATTAAAAGCACTTTTCTCATAAGGGTCAAGAGTAGTTACCTAACTTTTACTCCCAAGATTAAAATATTAATTAAGTATTACTTAATCCTAATTTAAATTTATGAGTAGGTGAACTAGCCCATTTGACCTAAAAATATTAATAAAATTTTGTTTGTGATGAATGTTTTTTTTGAAATTAATCTAACAAAACCACCCCATTAGTCTTTGTCCCCCAACATTTTATGTATAATTTATTATATTTTTTTCTCAATTTAATTTTGATTAATTTAATTATCGCAATGTATTAGGGGTGGGTGGGTTCGGGTATCCAACCCAAACCCTTGGAATCGAAACCAACTGGTTTCTAAATCCAAGGAATCAGAATCAGAACCGATCAATTCCGGTTCCTAAATGCCTGAAATGGTAACCTGAACAAAAACTATATCACACCCCTACTATTAAAAAAAATGACAAATATACCTTGTAAGAAGTATAAATACACCCCCACTATTTACAAAAATTTAAAATACATTATTGTTCCTAAATCCAAGGAATCAGAATTGGAACCAGTCAGTTTCGGTTCCTAAATGCTTGAAACCGTAACCTTAACAAAAATTATATACCTCTACTACTAAAAAAAAAAATGACAAATAGGCCTTGTAAAAATTAATACACCCCCATTATTTACAAAAATTACAAATACATTATGTGTATCCATCGATTCCACCTTAGGTACCCAAACCTCAGTTTCGGTTTCTGAAATAGTGGACCATAACCATAACCATACAATTTTAATTCCACCAAATTTGGAATCGAAACTGACATCCCAAGAACCCATGGATTTCGATTTTACTCTAAAAAATTTTGCACTCCTATAATGGATGCTTTATATTAGCATAATATACGTATAAAATACATACCTTAATACGATGAATCATGACCGATTAGATGTATATGTATCCGAGATAAATAAAATAAATTATTTTCTTATTTATTTTATAAATTTACTAAACTATTATTAGTACTATTGTTTAAAGTACAAAGGTGTTAAAACTTAATTTGATCGTACGAAGCAGGTTAAATAAATTGTAAAAAAAAAAATTTAAGGAAGCAGTGGCTGGCTGCTTCTAGATACGCGTGGCTAATGTGAATGAACAGCACGTGCGGCTGACGTGTCTAGAATGCAGCTGCTCCTCCTGGTTTGTGGCTTTCTAGGACTTAATTCCAATTAGCTCTTTCTGACGGCTCATCAATCGAAGCCCTCCATCACCGTCTGATCATGATCGGACGGCCATCACTACTCCCTCACTTACCTTGATCCAACCTGGCGTCGCCACACGTGTACTCCATGCCACGGTTTTTACAACTGTAACTAACTTTTGTCGTAAACACCAAAGCGGAATCTCTTACAATACACTACTAGCTTTAGATTCACTTATTTACCAAGGATAATTTCGTAAACTTACTTAAAATAGACCCCACTCTCTCACGGGGCTGTGATCCACTGTCAAATCAGCCACCCTCCCCACCGTCTGATCTTTAATTGATTAAAACTTAAAAGTGTTGTCTGTGGTGGGCCTCACCTCACTTAACCCGATAAGACATAAACTGACCATGTGTTTGTGCAGGCTGTGACGATTCTAATCTCACCTGTCTGTCGTTTTGGAATTTACTCAGCTATACTAAAATCCAACCCCATAAATCTAATGCTTCAGCTAGCTCAGTTCTTCTTCAAACTCTCCCTCCCTGTCTGTGTCTATTTTCGCCATGGAAATCTCTTAGGACTCTGAAAAGCAAAAGCTAAATCTTATAAAAAAAAAACACTTTCTTTGTTGTGCGTTTGGTTTGTTTATGTTGGTTTTTCAAAATGGTTTCGTTGGAAGATTCTCATTCTACTTCAAGTCGCCGGTTTCCTTTACTGCAAAATTTTTACTCACCATCTTTAGTTTCGAGCCCCAAAATCCACCGAAATCCCGCCCGATCCATGCGTACGATTCGCTCGCATCTGTACCAAGACGAAAACAGTTGTTCCTTCACTACTGTTCCCGATAACTCCGGCTACATGTCCGAGAATCTGACCGAATCGGTTATCGACATGAGACTTGGCGAGCTTGCCACCAAACTTTTTGACGCCAAATCGGCCAAGTCCAACGCATCAGAAGACGATTTCTTGAATGTCTCACAAGCATTCAGCGATTTCTCGGTCTGTAGCAGCGATATATCGGGCGAGTTACAGCGCCTCGCAAGCTTACCTTCACCTGAAAACAGCCCCGCGCAGCCCGGTGGCGAAAACCGTCAAAGCGAGCCTGAACCGGAGCCGGAGCCGTGTTTGGGGTTCCTCCAAAGGGAAAGCTTCTCGACCGAAATAATCGAAAGCATTTCGCCGGAAGATCTTCAACCGACGGTCAAGATCTGCGTCGACGGTCTTCAATCCTCATCAATCGCCATCAAGCGATCAGCCGCAGCAAAGCTGAGACTTTTAGCAAAAAACCGGTCCGATAATCGGGTACTTATCGGCGAATCGGGTGCCATACCGGCCTTAATTCCCCTCCTCAAATGTAGCGATCCGTGGACTCAAGAGCATTCAGTAACAGCTTTATTAAACCTCTCTTTGCATGAGAACAACAAATCCCTAATCACAAACGCAGGGGCAATAAAGTCTTTAGTATATGTTCTCAAAACCGGTACCGAAACTTCGAAGCAAAACGCAGCCTGTGCTCTGTTGAGTCTGGCTCTGATAGAAGAGAACAAAAGTTCCATAGGCGCATGTGGGGCAATTCCACCCTTAGTTTCATTGCTAATAAGTGGTTCAAACAGAGGGAAGAAAGATTCTTTAACGACATTGTACAAGCTTTGTTCCTTGAAGCAAAACAAGGAGAGGGCTGTGAGCGCCGGGGCGGTGAGGCCGTTGGTGGCGATGTTGGTGGGGCAAGGTGAGGGAATGGCGGAGAAGGCCATGGTGGTGTTGAGCTTATTGGCGGCAATTGCGGAGGGGCGAGACGCTATTGTTGATGAAAATGGAATCGCTGCTTTTGTGGAGGCTATTGAAGATGGGAGTGTCAAGGGGAAGGAGTTTGCGGTGTTGACTTTGTTGCAGCTTTGTGCTGAGAGTGTTAGGAATAGAGGGTTGCTGGTTAGAGAAGGAGGAATTCCTCCACTTGTGGCGCTTTCACAAACCGGGAGTGTGAGAGCAAAGCATAAGGTGAGAATTGAATTGATTTACTGGTTTTGAACTTTAAATTACGTTGCATATGCCATTGATAAATAGAGTTTTGAAGCTAGGTAATCAGCTTGATTTCGTCTCGATCCATTAAGATTACTACATATTTAGGGACTTTTATACTTCATGAACTGTTCATTTCTGCTTGGTTGTTAAAGGTTTCTTGTTCATGATTTGCAGGCCGAAACACTTCTTGGGTATCTGAGAGAACCAAGACAGGAGGCTTCATCATCCAGCCCTTAGAGAAGTAGTAGTTAATTACTTAGAAAAGGTAATTAATGATATACTAAGGGTGTTGTTTTGATGTACAAAGGGAGTGTTTTTGATGATGGTTTGTACAGTGTGGTGGAGAAATCATTTGTAGAATTGAAAAAAAAAAAAAAAAAAAAAAATATTAGGGAGAGAGAGATTAGTGAGTAATCAACTGACCTTTAGATGTATGATTTTAAGCTTTAACTAGGTTTTTGGGGTTTCAAATTTTTTTTTCCCTGTTATTGATTTCTCTAATTCCTCTAGAGGTGGAGGATTAGGGTTTGCCTTGTGGGTTTCTGGGTGTGTGATAAAATCTTGGGTTATCTTCTCCTTATTATTTTGTTCGGATAACCCAACTTCTGTTAAACATCTTTTGAATGAAGATCCAGATTACTATTATCATACAAACATTATCCTGACATAACCATTGTTTGTTTTGCTTAAAGCTTTAAATCAAATCAAAGAAGAGGGAGAGGCTTTGGTAGGGCCTTGATGTGCTTATATTTGGTGTAAAGTAGTTCATCTGTTGTGTATGGCATCAGCACTTACAATTTTTGCAATCTCAACCCCACCACCAACCGCAACCCCACCAGATTATGCAATTTTGTTTGAGTATCTTTCCTTGTCGTTATTAATCATGCTTTAGCTGGCGAGAAGAAGAATTGCATTTTACTACCCAGTTTTTGAATCTCCAAAGTGTCGGTGTTGCTTTTACTGCAGACAACATTTTACATTAAATTAAGTGGACCTGCCAAATAATAATAATAATACCCTTTTGACCATTTTTTGTATTAAAGAGTAGAAGTTGTTGCACAAATCAAGCTCTAAATATATTCATACCAGGACCTGGACTTTTTCTCTCTTACAAACCAAACCTAAGACAAAACTATGGCACATTATTCACACATATTTACTATGAAAGCTAACAAGGTGAATACGGAAGGTCTGTAGTTAAACAAACAGATCCTGAGCAAGGCTATTTACCACACACACACTCACACCGGCTAACACTTTGCCATTCGTATGACAAATAGAGATGTTAGTATTGGATAATGTTACTAAATTTACTGGGAAGAAGAAGGAGGTCAAGCAGAACCCTCCACGTCTGTGCGTTTCTCTTGAATAAGCCGGGTCTGTAGCCTTTCTCAAGCATTTTCTCGACTTCTTCGAACAATCCTTTAGTTTCTGGTACCAAGAAGTAAATAGCGATGAGTCCTAGGGTAGAAAACCCGGCGAATAAGAGGAAAGTACCGCAGAACCAAGAGCTTCGGTAGTGATAAGAATTCAAGCTGACATGAGATTCGATGTCCATTAGAAACTGCAGCAATGCCTCCACCAATGCCTCTGTATCTCAATGGATAGATCCAGAGTTGACAATCCATGGAACAGTTCCCATCCCTGGTGATACACTATAATGTACAACCCGGAGGATCACTGCAAGGAATCCAAATCTACTTGGGCAACCACTCTTAAATATGTTGCGGTGCTCTCCACCACAGACGACCTCGTTTGATTTATCCTGAATCAAACATGCTCCAGAGAATGCTGAACATAGCAACATAAATTAAACTCAACCAGTAAGAAAATCAAGATGTAGACGAGAAACTAGTGTATTAATAGGACTTACTTCATCTCCTTTATTTGCACAGAAGCCACATTTACTTTCAAGCAGGACATGCAGTTCCATCTAGATGATTGCAGCTGTGGAGTAAGCTGGACAGTGCGTTCTGCCAAAGTGAAATGATTCCACTGGGCTAATAGAGGGGAATGAACTGAAGCTTGCCAAAACACAATAGCTAACACAACGAGGCAAGAAATGATTCCAAACATGAGATGATCATCAGTTTCCTTCTTCCGTATCGATCAACAAATGCCATACAAACATTGAGCCAACAGCATTGAGGCCGGAAGTCACCAGAGAGAGAGCTAGAGCTGTGCTGTTTGATGCGAATCCGGCAAATTGAACTATGGATGGACTGTAATACATGACATGTTGATCCCTACAAACTGCTGAGCTACTTGAACGTAATTCCAGCATAAAGTCCCCTCCTTACAATGGTTACCGAAAGCTCCCTTTAATCTAGAAAACGTGCCTTTGCCAATAATAGCTTCCTCAGCCTTTTCAGCTTCCACCGATTTTGTAACCTATTCATTCCTCCTTCACTTCATTAGCAGGGTAAATTTTCTCCAAGATGGCCCTGGCTTCATGGACCCATCCTGAATAATAGAAACAACTCTGATCTTCTATTCCCGGGGACAGAAAGAAAAAAAAACATTGCAATACTAATGGGGTTGTACCTTTCTGTAAGGTATCTGGAGATTCAGGGAGGGTGAGCATCAAGAAAACTGAATCAAACTGGTGCTCCTGCGACTCCGACATCCAGCGCCATGTTCCAGGAGCCTGATACATGAATTTTTTTAAAGAAATCAAAATTAAACAAAGTCACTAATTGTACAAGATAGTCCCAGATTAATGATTAAGTTAAGCATACCCTGGTAAATCCTAGATTGATAGGTAGGACAGAATTGGCCCCCTGTAATTAGCAACCCATTTGTACTACAAGTGCTCCTCTAATTCTAGCAGGAGATGCTTCTGAAATGTAAAGCGGTGAAGTCATGGAAGCCATTCCAACTCCAAGACCACCAATATTCTTCCAAAATAATCATCCAGGGAGCTGGAGCAACAGCCATGACAATTGCACCAACGAAGAATAATAAATCGCTGCTAAAATTGATATTCTCTTCCCAAACCTGTCGTTATCCATCCGCCAATACCAGCTCCAAATAGCACCTGCAACAGCCATACTCCACATTGTTTCCTGCCAACAACAAATTAACATTCATTAAACACAACAATATAAAATCAACCACACTTAAAACTAGAAGAATGAAACACAATAAACAAACCTGGAGCCATGTTTTCTTCTCAACACAACAAAATCCTCTTTAATAACAGAAGGGCACCAGTATGACTCCTAAACACCATATTGGAAGATTATATTAATTGAGTTCCATGTTTCTGATTGCTCTCAAGAAATTCAAAACATAAACCAATGTTTATTACAACATCTTGAACTGTTTTACCTGTGTCATAACCAAACAGAGCCCTCCAATGCCAGCTGAGAAAGCAAGCTTCATAATATAAGGCTCGTCCATACTGTCGCCAGCATTCTGTGAACTCAGTCTTATCTGCTTTTGAGACCCCTGCTTCCACCATACTTATGAATGGCTAAAACTAATTCAACTCAAGTTTTACACATAAAACTATGTCAAGAGACCTTAACAAACCCACCCAGATTCACCCTGCAACAACAAATCCTGATTACTAAAATTCCAGATGAACGAATCAGTAATATCTTCAAATTTAATAGAAGCATCACTAATAACTTGTTGTATGTATTACATACAATAATTTCAACGCATCAGAAAACAAAATTTAACAATACCCACAATGTATATTCACTTTAATATTCAAAGCCCTTTTTCTTCACTTTAGATGTCTGTTAAATAATGCATACGAACCCTAACTCAGTATACATTCAACAAGTGTCGAAGGAGTTTTAATGTAGTTTTGGAGTGTTGTTATTACTTATTATATTGAAAGTTTCTATGAAACCTGACAGTGAACTAAGCAGACAGTGTAGAGATTCTCCAGCAGGAAACAGATAAAATTTAAATCTCACTAATTGTAGATAAACCAAACAACTAACAAAATTATCCGTATTAATTACATTTGTGGGATACTTTAAAACCGAATCAAACTCTTATCACATTGACCAAGCCAAACTTGGATTTTATAATTATATTTGAAAATTGAAATCAACTTTGTCCAACAGATTTCTCTGCGGATTTTTAGGTGTTAATGATGAAGAACCATCAACCTTCCATGAATTTACCAATGAAATTTAAAAGCTTTATTGCATGATGAATGAAATGAAACTGTTTTGCGTTAAAAGTCACGAAATGTTAGCTCAATAAATATTTTTTTCGTACTAGTTTTCAAACCTATACCGCCTCAAAGATATTCATATCATATTATCTATTCAACGATAAATAATGAGAGTTTTCTATGTATCAGAAACTTGCAAAATTCATTGACCTCAAAAGTGTATAAATTGACACTACGGGGGGCTTGGCAGACGAGAGTTGCATATTTGAGCTTCATTTCATTATTTCTCTATGTAATCAAAGTTTTTTCTCCATCTTTGTATGCCTTATGGGCAATATCATAGAAATAGATAGGTGACGTAGGATTTACTTTTGGCATCCGAACCATTATAAAAACCCCCCTTTTGTCAATCTTTTATTTATTTTTTGCAACATATATATAACCTCAGCACCATTTTCAAATTTCATCGATCCATCACGTATAATTTCTAGTTTCCTTAACCTTTACACGTCGAGTCATATCGTCCAAAATCAAGCGTCAACATAAACCATTACTCCAATGAATGATTTACAAATCCCAGAAACAACCAGTGCAGAGCCCTGATAATTTTCTTTCGATATGCATGCATACATGCATGCACGTTACTTGATAATAAATAATACACCATCAAAACAATCTTCAAACCCAACACACAAACACAAAGCGAAAACGAAACAAGTAATCTTACCGAAGCAAATACTGGTATACAGAAGCTTCATAATTTAACAGCTCCAATAATGCTTCTCTTAGCACACTAGTGTATACTGTATATTTATGGATGGAGAATACTGCTGAAGAGGAGATATGGAAGTTGTATATCTGTAACTAAATAACTAAGTTTGGATATTTTTCTACGAGTTAAGTAACCGGTATGGAGTTATATACACACTGTATCCATAATTAGGAGGAAGAAGTATGAGGCTCAACACAATTTTCTCTTCACACTATGGGATCTTCTTAAAATACGGACATTAATGGTGATAAATACTGAGCTGGTTGTCCAATTTAAGATGGTCTGCCAGTTTGTGGCTAATAGATAAGTTCTAATGATCATATCGGATTCTTCTGTCAATATTAGTAATACCATAGCTTTAATTTTGTTGGATCGTACTCAAAATGTTCAGCTTCTTATAATCAGTTAGTTAAAATTTGGTATAATTTTACAAGGTAGATCTATTCTATCCAACTATATCAGGGATAATTAAAAAAAAAAAAAAAAAAAAAGATGAAAAAGATAATGTATTTTTTGTCAAGAATGGGATTCGAACCCATGCCCTTCGGACCAGTACCTGAAACTGGCGCTTTAGCAACTCGGCCATCTTGACAATGTGCAATTTTCCACAAATAGTTATTTTAATTTTTATTTATTTATTCAAATCAACTGATTTAATCTAATTTTATAAGTTATTTTCAGAGTAATGCTACAGTTACCGAAAGATTCACACTGAATGACGTCACTAAATCCTGATTGTTGATTAATTATGAATTAATATTAATCTATAGTCAGGATTACGTCACATTATTTGGTGTACGAATTCGGTGCGCATCCTTAGATAATTGTGGGCATGTTTGGCTTATTATTTTTATCCATATTCTCAATCCTATTCTCCAAATAATGTTTAGCACATTATTCTAAAAATATTATCCTATTTTTAATTACTTTTAGACCCTATAAGGTTATTAATTTCATCAAATACACCCTGAAAAAAAGTTTAAAATTATCAAAAACACCCCCACGACCCATATTCGCTAGATTCTGGTAACCACCGTCGGTGGTAGCCGAAATCTGTACAACTACCTATCTGCCGACCAGAAATTGCCAGAAGTTCACCGATATGACCTTTTCCGGCCATATCCACCATGGATCTGGCCGGAAAAGGCTAGATCTGGCCGTCGTTTTGGGCTTTTCCGGCCTTTGTGGCCACAACAGGCAGTATATTTGACCTTTTCCGGCCAGATCCGTGGTGGATCTGGCCGGAAAAGGCCATAACGACGCGTTACGAAACAGATCCGATAGGTTTGTGTCGTAACACAATTTTTTGGCCAAATTCCGGCGGTAGTGGCCAGAATCTGGCATTGTAGGTGATGGGGGTGTTTTTATCATTTTATATATTAGGGTATTTAATTAAATTAGCAAACCTAGGGGCTTTTTCATAAATTTTTAAATTTTACCTCGTAATACTCCCTTATCCAGCTATTTAATATTATTCTTAAAATCCTATCCAAAATAATAAACCAAACGCACCCTGTATTATTTTCCTATTTTCATCGCCCTATGTTAATATCGTGTTAAAAAGTTAATTGCCACATGGTATATAAAGTTAAAATAATTATTTCAAAGGTATAATNGAGAGCAAAGCATAAGGTGAGAATTGAATTGATTCACTGGTTTTGAACTTAAAATTACGTTGCATATGCCATTGATAAATAGAGTTTTGAAGCTAGATTATCAGCTTGATTTCGTCTCGATCCATTAAGATTACTACATATTTAGGGACTTTTATACTTCATGAACTGTTCATTTCTGCTTGGTTGTTAAAGGTTTCTTGTTCATGATTTGCAGGCCGAAACACTTCTTGGGTATCTGAGAGAACCAAGACAGGAGGCTTCATCATCGAGCCCTTAGAGAAGTAGTAGTTAATTACTTAGAAAAGGTAATTAATGATATACTAAGGGTGTTGTTTTGATGTACATAGGGAGTGTTTTTGATGATGGTTTGTACAGTGTGGTGGAGAAATCATTTGTAGAATTGAAAAAAAAAAAAAAAAAAAAAAATATTAGGGAGAGAGAGATTAGTGAGTAATCAACTGACCTTTAGATGTATGATTTTAAGCTTTAACTAGGTTTTTGGGGTTTCAAATTTTTTTTTCCCTGTTATTGATTTCTCTAATTCCTCTAGAGGTGGAGGATTAGGGTTTGCCTTGTGGGTTTCTGGGTGTGTGATAAAAATCTTGGGTTATTCTTCTTCTTATTATTTTGTTCGGATAACCCAACTTCTGTTAAACATCTTTATTGAATGAAGATCCAGATTACTATTATCATACAAACATTATCCTGATCATAACCATTGTTTGTTTTGCTTAAGCTTTAAATCAAATCAAATCAAAGAAGAGGGAGTGGTGTTTTTGGTAGGGCCATTGATATGCTTATATTTGGTGTAAAGTAGTTCATCTGTTTGTGTAGTGGCATCAGCACTTACAATTTTTGCAATCTCAACCCCACCACCAACCGCAACCCCACCATAGATTTATGCAATTTTGTTTGAGTATTCCTTTCCTTGTCGTTATTAATCATGCTTTAGCTGGCAGAGAAGAAGAAGTGCTATTTTACTACCCAGTTTTTGAATCTCCAAAGTGTCGGTGTTGCTTTTACCGCAGACAACATTTTACATTAAATTAAGTGGACCTGCCAAATAATAATAATAATACCCTTTTGACCATTTTTTGCTATTAAAGAGTAGAAGTTGTTGCACAAAATCAAGCTCTAAATATATTCAGTACCAGGACCTGGACTTTTTCTCTCTTACAAACCAAACCTAAGACAAAACTATGGCACATTATTCCACACATATTTACTATGAAAGCTAAACAAGGTGAATACGGAAGGTCTGTAGTTAAACAAACAGATCCTGAGCAAAGACTATTTACCACACACACTCACACCAGCTAGACACTTTGCTCATTCATATGACAAATAGAGATGTGTAGTATTGGCTAATGTTATTAAAATTTACTGGGAAGGGAAGAAGGAGATCAAGCAGAACCCTCAACATCTTTGCTTTTTCTCTTGAATAAGCCGGGTTTGTAGCCTTTCTCAAGCATTTTCTCGACTTCTTCGAACGGTAATCCTTTAGTTTCTGGTACCAAGAAGTAAATAGCGATGAGTCCTAGGGTAGAAAACCCGGCGAATAAGAGGAAAGTACCAGCAGAACCAAGAGCTTCGGTGAGTGATAAGAATGTCAAGCTGACGATGAGATTCGATGTCCAGTTAGAAACTGCAGCAATGCCTCCACCAATGCCTCTGTATCTCAATGGATAGATCTCAGAGTTGACAATCCATGGAACAGTTCCCATCCCTGGTGAGTACACTATAATGTACAATCCAAGGAGGATCACTGCAAGGAATCCAAATCTACTTGGGCAACCACTCTTAAAATATGTGCGGTGCTCTCCACCACAGACGACCTCGTTTGATTTATCCTGAATCAAACATGCTCCAGGAAGATGCTGAACATAGCAACATAAATTAAACTCAACCAGTAAGAAAATCAAGATGTGGACGAGAAACTAGTGTATTAATAGGACTTACTTCATCTCCTTTATTTGCACAGAAGCCACATTTTACTTTCAAGCAGGACATGCAGTTCCATCTAGATGGATTTGCAGCTGTGGAGTAAGCTGGACATGTGCTGTTCTTGCCAAAGTGAAATGATTCAACTGGGCTAATAGAGGGAGAATGAACTGAAGCTTGCCAAAACACAATAGCTAACACAACGAGGCAAGAAATTATTCCAAACATTGAGATGATCATCAGTTTCCTTCTTCCGTATCGATCAACAAATGCCATACTAACAATTGAGCCAACAGCATTGAGACCGGAAGTCACCAGAGAGAGAGCTAGAGCTGTGCTGTTTGATGCGAATCCGGCAAATTGAACTATGGATGGACTGTAATACATGACAGTGTTGATACCTACAAACTGCTGAGCTACTTGAACTGTAATTCCAGCATAAAGTCCCCTCCTTACAATAGGGTTACCGAAAGCTCCCTTTAATCTAGAAAACGTGCCTTTGCCAATAATAGCTTCCTCAGCCTTTTCAGCTTCCACCGATTGTTGTAACCTATTCATCTCTCCTTCAACTTCATTAGCAGGGTAAATTTTCTCCAAGATGGCCCTGGCTTCATGGACCCGATCCTGAATAATAGAAACAACTCTGATCTTCTATTCCCAGGGACAGAAAGAAAAAAAACTTTGCAATACTAATGTTGTACCTTTCTGTAAAGGTATCTGGGAGATTCAGGGAGGGTGAGCATCAAGAAGAACTGAATCAAAGCTGGTGCTCCTGCGACTCCGAGCATCCAGCGCCATGTTCCAGGAGCCTGATACATGATTTTTTTTTTAAGAAATCAAAATTAAACAAAGTCACTAATTGTACAAGATAGTCCCAAGATTAATGATTAAGTTAAGGCATACCCTGGTAAATCCTAGATTGATGAGGTAGGACAGGAATTGGCCCCCTGTAATTAGCAACCCATTTGTACTAACAAGTGCTCCTCTAATTCTAGCAGGAGATGCTTCTGAAATGTAAAGCGGTGAAGTCATGGAAGCCATTCCAACTCCAAGACCAACCAATATTCTTCCAAGAATAATCACCCAGGGAGCTGGAGCAACAGCCATGACAATTGCACCAAGGAAGAACAATACATCGGCTGCTAAAATTGATATTCTTCTCCCAAACCTGTCGTTGATCCATCCGCCAATACCAGCTCCAAAAATAGCACCTGCAACAGCCATACTCACAATTGTTTCCTGCACAACAACAAATTAACATTCATTAAACACAACAATATAAAATCAACTACACTTGAAACATAAAAGAATGTAACACAAATAAACAAACCTGGAGCCATGTTTTCTTCTCAACATCAACAAAATCCTCTTTAATATACAGAAGGGCACCAGATATGACTCCTAAAACACCATATTAGAAGATTATATTAATTGAGTTCCATAGTTTCTGATTGCTCTCAAGAATATTCAAAACATAAACCAATGTTTATTGGCAACATCTTTAAACTGTTTTACCTGTGTCATAACCAAACAAGAGCCCTCCAATGCCAGCTGAGAAAGCAAGCTTCATAATATAAGGCGTCGTCCATACTGTTCGCCAGCATTCTGTGAACTCAGTCTTATCTGCTTTTGAGACCCCTGCTTCTACCATACTTATGGAATTGGCTAAAACTAATTCAACTCAAGTTTTACACATAAAACTATGTCAAGAGAACCTTAACAAACCCACCCAGATTCAACCCTGCAACAACAAATCCTGATTACATAAAATTCCAGATGAACGAATCAGTAATATCTTCAAATTTAATAGAAGGCATCACTAATAACTTGTTGTATGTATTACATACAATAATTTCAACGCATCAGAAAACAAAATTTAACAATACCCACAAACAATGTATATTTACCTTAATATTTCAAGGCCCTCTTTTCTTCCTCTTTAGATGTCTGTTCAATAATGCTTATGAACCCTAACTCAAGTATACATTCAACAAGTGTCGAAGGAGTTTTAATGTAGTTTTGGAGTGTTGTTATTACTTATTAATATTTGAAAGTTTCTATGAAACCTGACAGTGAAAACTAAAAGCAGACAGTGGTAGAGATTCTCCAGCAGGAAACAGATAAAATTTAAATCTCACTAATTGTAGATAAACCAAACAACTAATCAAAATTATCCGTATTAATTACATTTGTGGGGATACTTTAAATAACCGAATCAAACTCTTATCACATTGACCAAGCCAAACTTGGATTTTATAATTATATTTGAAAATTGAAATCAACTTGGATATTAGTTTGTCCCACAGATTTCTCTGCAGATTTTTAGGTGTTAATGATGAAGAAACCAGTCAACCTTTCCATGAATTTACCAATGAAATTTAAAAGCATTTATTGCATGCATGAATGAAATGAAACTGTTTTGCGTTAAAAGTCACGAAAATGTTAGCTCAATAAATATGTTTTTCGTACTAGTTTTCAAACCTATACCGCCTCAAAGATATTCATATCAATCTTATCTTATTTCAACTGATAAATAAATGAGAGTTTTCTATGTATCAAGACAACTTGCAAAACATTCATTGACCTCAAAAGTGTATAAATTGACACTACGGGGGGCTTGGCAGACGAGAGTTAGTCATAAATTTGAGCTTCATTTCATTATTTCTCTATGTAATCAAAGTTTTTTCTCCATCTTTGTATGCCTTATGGGCAATATCATAGAAATAGATAGTGGACGTAGGATTTACTTTTGAGCATCCGAACCATTATAAAAACCCCCCTTTTGTCAATCTTTTATTTATTTTTTTGCAACATATATATATAACCTCAGCACCATTTTCAAATTTCATCGATCCATCACGTATAATTTCTAAGGTTCTCTTAACACTTTACACGTGCGAGTCATTAGCGTCCAAAATCAAGCGTCAACATAAACCATTACTCCCAATGGAATGATTTACAAATCCCAGAAACAACCAGTGCAGAAGCCCTGATAATTTTTCTTTCGATATGGCATGCATGCATGTTACAGACGATACTAAATAATAAACCATCAAAACAAATCTTCAAAACCAAACACAAAAACAAAAGCGAAAACAAAAACAAAAACAAAAACAAAAACAGTAATCTTACCGAAAGCAAATACTGGTATACAGAAGCTTCATAATTTAACCAGCTCCAATAATGCTTCTTCTTAGCACACTAGTGTTTACTGTATATTTATGGATGGAGGGATACTGCTGAAGAGGAGATAATGGAAGTTGTATATCTGTAACTAAATAACTAAGTTTGGATATTTTTCTACGAGTTAAGTAACCGGTATGGAGTTATTACAACAACTGTATTACCATAATTAGGAGGAAGAAGTATGAGGCTCAACACAATTTTCTCTTCACACTTATGGGATCTTCTTAAAATACTGACATTAATGGTGATAAATACTGAGCTGGATTGTCCAATTTAAGATGGTCTGCCAGTTTGTGGCTAATAGATAAGTTCTAATGATCATATCAGATTCTTATGTCAAATATTAGTAATACTATAGCTTTAATTTTGTTGGATCCTACTCAAAATTCTATCAACTTCTTATAATCAGTTAAGTTAAAATTTGGTATAATTTTTACAAAGGTAGATCTTATTCAATATCCAACTATATCAGGGATAATAATAAAAAATAAAAAAAATAAAAAAAAAAAAGAGAAAAAAAAGTAATGTCATTTTGTCAAGAATGGGATTCGAACCCATGCCCTTTCGGACCAGTACCTGAAACTGGCGCCTTAGACCAACTCGGCCATCTTGACAATGTGCAGATTTTCCACAAATAGTTATTTTTAATTTTTATTTATTTATGCATATCAACTGATTTAATCTAATTTTATAAGTTATTTCCTGAGTAATGCTGCGCACCGAATGTCGTGACTAAATCCTGACCGTTAATTAATTATAAATTAATATTAATTAACAGTTAGGATTACGCCACGTCATTGGGTGTACGAATTCGGTGCGCATCCTTAGATAACTGTGTTATGTTCCTATTTTCATTGCCCTATGTTAATATCGTGTTAAAAAGTTAATTGCCACATGGTATATAAAGTTAAAATAATTATTTCAAAGGTATAATATTGTTGCTATTAGAAAGAGATATTAATAGAAAAAATTACTTAAAATTAATTGATTAAAGGATATACTCAAAACATGTTTGACTATTTGGTCTTTATTTTCCTAATTATATTTTATTCTTTTTACTTTAATTATATTTTCCTTTTTTTTTACCACTTGAATTTGAGTGAAAGCCCATTAAACACATGAAACATTTTAAAAGGTATTCCACCCAATTCAACTTGATCCGGGTGCCCGGAAGCCAGCCAGCCAGCCCAATCTCATCATGGGCTATGACTATGAGACACTCAAACAAGGGATTATTTTATTCCCTAAAAATAGTTTAACATGAAAGGGCTTTTGGTTGGAGCATATATGAGATTACGGGGTAATTTCATCTTATATTACTTATATTATTATATTTAATTGTTAAATGATATAATATTTTGATAATCTTTCAAAACCAATAGTAATTACTATTGGTTGTATAAGTAATATTCTAAATACCATAATTTTCTTATGTGTTTTAAGGTTACTTGATAATCTTAATTTTGTTACTATTGGTTATATAAATGATAATCTAAATACAACAATTTTTCTTATGTGTTTTAAGATTATTTGATAATCTTAATTTTGTTACAATTTTACCCTTAACTTTTAAAAATTTTGGACAATAATGCCCTTATTTCGAAAACAATTTACAAAAAAAAATCATGGACTATTTTATCCTTGTATACAAATTTTTTAGAACGTAAATACTCTTGAACTTGAAAACAATTACCCAAGACTCGTGGCCGAATTTGGCCACCACTATTGGCAGCCAGCCATCGATGTTGAAACGGCGTACGACTGGCCGAATCTCGCCAGAAATTCCCAAAACTAATTTGGTGGTTTCTAGCTAAATCTGCGACCATCTAACCGAAAATAGCTAGATCGACGCATGGCCAGCCAGATCTGATTGGTCATGCACTGTTCTGGCTACCACGGCCTACGGCTGACAGTGGCTGAGGTGTTTTTGTTAATTTTTTAACTTTTATGATATGGGTATTTTAGCTAAATTCTCAAATATAGAGGGTTAAAATTAATAATACTAAAAAAGAAAGGTAATTCAGTAATTTATATAACATACCCACCAATTTATTCTTTCCAACTATACATATCGATATAACATATCCACCAATTTATTTAAATCTAACCAAACACATTTATTAATATAACATTCCTAGTAATCTTTAAGGTAATCTATCTTTCTTTTAATATAACATTTCCAATAATATAACATTTCTTGAACCAAATGCACCCGAAATGTATTTTGAAAAGTATCATGTACTTTCTTAACGGGGGTGTTAATATTTTTATAAGAAGGTTTTTGATATTTTTTTATAATTTTTTTTATAATCGTAAAAGGTGTATAATACTTATAAATTATTGCAATACATTTCATATTAAACAATCTTAATGGCAACATCATTAAAAAAATTGTTATTGTCGGTGCCAAAGTTTCACATTGGTTAGGAGACGAGGATCTTAGTCTCTTATATAGCACAAAGATACCCTCATTACCCAAAGGCACATTTTCGGAATAAAACCTTACAGGCTCTAGGACGCAAATCTAACAATACCTTTGAGAACTCATCTACCATACAATTGGATCTAATAGTTGACGCTAGAAGGAAGGCTGACGGCTAGACCACTCCCAAGCCTCTTGTCTCCTAGGAGGTTGTGTTAGTGTCAGAGTCTCACATCAGTTAAGAGATGAGGGCTTTGATAACTTGTATAGTATAATGACACACTCATAGATACGCTTTTTCAAGACAAAATCATGTGGGTCCATCAAAGTTAACATTTTTTTTATAAATTACCCTTATTTTAAGATTAAAAAATATACCATATTAAAGTAAAAAAATAAATAAATAATACAAACAAACAAACTGGTAGATTACCCTATTATCATTTTGCTTTTCTCTATCTTCAATACCCAACTATAATGAATGAATTATATGGTAGAGAAAGCCCGGGCGAGATGAAAGCACAGCAAATGCAGTGTCTCAATCAAGATAAGAAAGCTAAAGTTAGGGATTTGATGATTGAAGCAAAAATATACGCAAAAATTGGGAGTGGGGTCTGTGCTTCTGGCTGCACACAGCTGCTGCAAGCACCTAACTACGACAATGGGAGCTGCATCCATCTTTAATGCAAAAGTTAAAAGTGGGATTATTGACAATGTAAATGTACGCCACAAACCCACTTTACTCTCTTTCTTTGTTTGCTGGATAAGGCTCTGCAACTCTGCAACATGATAAATATTGATTGATTGATTGATTGATTGATTGAATGAATCAATGAATCAATGAATGTCACTTGCTGTTGCAGTGGTAATCTTATTCATCAGCCATTGGCCCCTACCATTTAAAGCCATTGCAGGCTCCATCGCCCCCACTCTCTTTTACTTCCTAACCAGTCATTTGGGTCTCTTAGTTAGGACCTGGAACTGGAGTTCTCAAAACCCAACTTAGTTTACCTCTCTTCTGTTCCATTTCAACTATGCTCTTTGTCCCTCTTCAACAATCATTCTTTCCCATCTCATCTCATGTGAAATAAGTGAAAGCTGGGTAATATTACGTTCACAAACTCATTTTATCACTAACTTTCTTTCATAAATGTAATATGATAGTTCGTAATTAGTCAATTTATAATAGGTCTCATCTCACCAATTACGAACTGTCAGATCGCGATTGTGAAAGAAAGTTAATAAGAAAGGTTTGTCAGCTTATCTTTATTGGTAAAAATTTCATTAGGTCATCTCCCACATTCCGGGAAACTTCAAACAAATCTACGTCCAAACAACGTGATAGTAAGAAATATCACTTATGAGTTAGGTGTGGTCGGATGACAAGCTTTTTGGTGGACGATGATCTTATCTTACATCGTATTTAACTTAATACAAAGGAAAAGTGAGCAGTTCATAAATATTTGGGCCGTGAAAAGCCCAAGAGTAGGCCCATTAATAAACCGAGCCCAATCGTTGCAAATAAAATGTAAATCTTGGCGTCTTTCGCTCTCTCCTTCTGCCTCGTCGACTCCACTCTGGCTCTGTCTCTCTGGCTCGCTCGCTTGTTACCTCCTCGAACTCTTCTCAATTTCTTACAAGAACCGTTACAAAACCGCCTCATTACGCTCTCTAAAACGAACACTTTATTCAGTCGTTTCATTTCCACCCTTAGATCCACTTCAACGGTTTTGATTTCACCTCAAATCTGAGAGACAAGTCACGGGAGTCACCCGTTCCTCTTAAACAGGTACATTGCATAAAATGAATCCGTTTTTCTAGCAAAATATTCATCTGGGTTGTTCAGTTTTATCTTTAATAATGTTCTTATGATCCGTACAATTTTCCGGGTTGGTCTTCTTTAGCCTTTATTTGTTGTTCATTTTATGTTTGATGTGTTTATTTTCATTTGCTTCGGTTGTTAACATTTTTTACTGAATAAGAGGGTGTTTCTGATGGTTCAAGTGAGTGTTTTTGCTGATCAAAATTGTAACCTTGTGTGTAAATGGTTTAGTAGTGTTTGTTTGGGAGACACGTTTTGGGAGTCAAGTTTAGTGAATGTCAGTAGTGTTGGTTAAGATTATTTTGGTGGAGAGAAGTGGTTGATGGAGTTTTAGTATTTTTTGCCTTTTTGATTTATTTTTGTAGTTCATCTAAGCAATTCAAGTTTAATGGATGCCAAGTTTGGATTTTTAATCATGGGTTTGGTTTTATTTTATCATGATGCGAATGCCACCCTTTAAAGTTGAGAGCTTTACTGTGCTATCTTTGTTGAAGTCCATTTGCATAATTTATTTTGTGGTTATGTTTTACTTGTTTTCCTCTGCATATTCCCTGCGTGAATACCAATGTGAACTATGGGTTTTGTGGATTTACTGAGATGTGGATTTTATAGGTTTTTTCATATTAGGGTTTCTGTTTATTTACAGTTACAATTTTTGTAGGGAAATGGCTTGGGGAGAAATTGAAATTTCTATATTCTGGTTAGTTACTGCATTAGTGTTGTAGATCTCAACTACTGCATTGTAGACTGCTCAGAATGTAAATGAGAAAGGAAATGGCACTCTCAACTACTGTGTTGTTGACTGCTCAGAGTCTAAATGAAAGAGGAAAATGGCAAGAGGGAAGAGAGATATAAAACAAAGGATCCTTAAGAAACTCATGACAGCCCTTTTTCTGCTATATTTTTTGGGTGCTGTTTTGTGGAGCAGGTTTTATAATTCATTGTCTAGAAATCTAGAAATGAATTTGCTAAAACTGCCCAACATAACAGACACCTAATGAATTGTAGGAATTGGGCTGTCATGAGTTTGCTACCTTTCCTTGTGTTATTCATGTTATGTTCTTTCAGTAAGAGTTATAAGAAATATTGCTATGATTTGTGAACTCTGTAAAAACAAAACTCGCTATATGTTTCACATCATTTAAAATACACTCTATACGCTACTCCGTGACATTTTACTCAAGAAGGAAAAAAAAAAAAGTTATTTAGGGAGGCAGACTTTATAATTTTCTGAAAACTCTCTCTCTGCTATTCAAGGTTCCCTTGTTGAAATACATGTTTTCAATGTAGTAAGAGTATGTTCTCTTGACACAAACTTGATCTTGTGTTATCGAAAAATTCATATTGAGTTGTATGATAGCTATATATTTTTGGTCGTCCTTGATGACTGACCATAAGGCTGATATGAACTGTGTTTTCGTTATAGATCTGATTAAGGGATATATAGAAATTTCTCTATCCTGACTGTTGCATTGGTTCTCATCACTTAACTTCATTTTATATATTATAATTTTTGGAACTTTCTGTAAAATCTGTTGTGATTGACATGGCAAAGTTTCTAAGTTGGTTTCTTGACACAAAATTCTTTATCATATTATTGACATTTATGCTGCCATTTGATATTGCAGCCAAAGAATTCACATTGGAAATGTGAAAGTATGCATGGAACTTGGTGGAAGTGTCGCACTTTTTGCATCTTTATATGTTACTGGTTTTGGATGAGACTTCTGATTTAGATTAGTAGAATTATGAACAGTTGTGTCATGTATGAATAAAACATCATAGTGCTGTCTAAACTATTATCAATCATTCCCAGGTTGAGAAAAAGATCATCAATTGAGAGGCAAAGCTGAAGCGAGATTTGGAGTGGGAGAAGGGCCAGAAGTAGGTTTAGATGAGGGATTAGGGTGTCAACCTTTTAGGGCTAGAAGGTTTTAGAGAATGTAGGAAGCTTGTTGTGTGTAATATACAAGCTATTTTTGTAGAAAATGCTTATATGCACATACACAATTCCTTTCATTTGTAGCTTCTTTTTAAAGAACACAGAGAAAATTAAAACGTAGAAAAGTAGAAAATGAATTTCACGGTATTCTGCTTCTGTTTCTGCCCTCATATCACTTTATTTTCTATTTTTCTAATTACATATTTTCAGTCCCTGGTGTTGCTTGATACTGCAGGAACCTCAGACTGTGTTTCCCTTAGGAATACCAGATTGGAGTTGTCATATAGTCCAGATAGACTTGCATAAGTGGCAGGAAGTAGAGGGTGGAGTAGAAGTTACTACTTTCTTTTAGACCAACTCAATATTAGATTCAGAAGATAGGTATTTTCTCAGACTCTGCCCAATACTACATTTAAGTAATTATTGAACTTCAGCTTTTGTACTTTATATACCTTCCCTGCCTCTCAAGTTTCTTTTGCAAATTGCCTTTATTCTCATCTTTTCTTAACCTATGTTCTCACCTTGCATAGGGGAAGATATAATATCGGCAAATGTCATGGTTCCTGGAAAGATCTACAATTCAGAAGATTAATATGGATCTGTAGAGTGACAATTGTGAGAGTTGGAAGATGGCCTTTTATTCTGAGGAGGAGAAAACTGAGGATTATCTTTTTAAAATTGTTCTGATTGGTGATTCTGCTGTTGGGAAATCTAATTTGCTTGCAAGATTTGCTAGAGATGAGTTCTACCCAAATTCGAAATCAACCATAGGAGTAGAGTTCCAGACCCAAAAGATGGATATTAACGGAAAGGAAATTAAGGCACAAATCTGGGATACAGCAGGTCAGGAGCGATTCAGGGCTGTTACATCTGCATATTACCGAGGTGCAGTTGGAGCTCTTCTGGTCTATGACATTAGTAGACGACAGACATTCGACAGCATTGGCAGATGGCTTAATGAACTTCACAGTAAGAATCTCTTCACCTTTTTTTTTTTTTTTTTTTTTTCATGGTTTCAAGATAAAATTGGTTCTTGATAAAGTAAAAAACTTTTTGTGATTGTGTTACCATCCCCCTTGTTTCTGTATTTGATATTATTAATCTGTCCATTCTTTAATACAATAAACCAAGGATTGATTTTGATTCATTTGTTTCTGGAACAGCGCATTCAGACATGAATGTAGTAACCATACTAGTAGGCAACAAGTCAGATCTCAAGGAGGCGAGGGAGGTAACAACTGCGGAAGGGAAGGCCTTGGCAGAGGCACAGGGCTTGTTTTTCATGGAGACTTCAGCTCTAGATTCCTTGAACGTTACAGCTGCTTTTCAAACCGTCGTCAAAGAGATCTACAATATATTAAGCCGGAAAGTTATGATATCGCAAGAGCTGAAGAACAAGGATTCCACCTCATTGACAAATGGAAAGACAGTGGTTTTACAAGGAGGGAAAAATGAATCAGCAGCAGCAGAAAATGGGGAGCCTAGAAAGGCTGGATGTTGTTCAACTTAACATGTAACAATCAGCTTAAATTTGCTAGTGAAACTGAAATTCAGCAAGCCCCCCCCACATTTCTTCTTCTCCATGGTTTCGATCAGCTTCTTGATCTTGTTGAAATGTTATTTAATTTTTTTTTTCTTCTTTTTTTGGCTTGTTTTCTATGGATGATTAATGATGGCTGAAGAAGGATTAACAAATGTAAATTACCTCAAGGGAACTTCAAAACTAATTATATCATACATTCCATTTTATACTTGTATTTTTCTATATTATGTTATCGGATTGGATGTACTTACTACTAATTGATCATCTGATATGTACATAATGAAGTTTTCATTCTCAATTCTATGAGAATTTTTATGGAGCCTTTAATTTGTTTCTTTTCGATGGAAGTTTTATTTTCTCAGAATGTTTTTTAATTTTTGGCCTAATTTTTTGATCGATTCAATCTTAGATAAAAAAGGTATACTTTGGTTTTATTTCATCTCTTCGACAAGTTTAGTAACGAGCATAAAAACCCTATTGTTCCGATAGAGGGAAGAACCTATGGTTAGTTTTGCACCTTGAGATAATGTTATCTTATTATTTTTATGTAAAAAAACATATAAATGAAAAATATAATTAAGGTTTAAAATGTGAATCAAGATAAGATTAATTAAATGTGAATCAAGATAAGATTAATTAATTAGGGTTTTTGTTTTCGGTTAATTGAGGTGTTCGGATAAAATAAAAATAAAAATGATCAAATGAAGACAAAAAACAAAGTCTATTGAATAATACTATACATACATCATTTTCATACAATATTTCTCATACAACATTATGTGGTAAGATATGATTGGATAAAAGTTTAATTTTAACTTTAAATTAACCAATCATATTTTGCCACATAATGTTGTATGAAAATGATGTATGTGTAGTATTATTCAAGCTTATTATCCAAGTAAATGGGAAAATAACACGTCATCAGTCATCACCAAAAAATAATAAAATGACAAAAAACACCCCTACTGTGTCGGTATGCAAGCCAACTGCCAACACCTGACCACATACAAATATAAGAATAAAAAACCCAATTTGATTGATTGATTAAATTGATTAACAGAAGAGAAAGGGTGAGGGAGAAGCAAATTGATTCGATCAATCAAGGTCAGCAAATGGGTCGGTTATTTATAGAGTCATTAAGTGGGCCTCGGATCTTCAAGTGCAAGAGTTGTAAGGTGGACTCTGCCTCACCCGATCATATCGTCTCCAAGGAGTTTCAGGGCCGTTTTGGCCGCGCTTATCTTTTCCGATCAGTGTAAGCCAAACCCAATTCTTTATTTGTCGTATTTTAAGTCGTTTTGTTAAATTTTATTTTATTTTGTTTCATTGCAATGGTTTTTTGAGCAATAATTTCAGGGTAAACGTGTCTCTTGGGCCTAGAGAAGACCGGCTTCTCTTCAGTGGATTGCACACTGTTAACGACCTTTATTGTAGCTCTTGTCACCAATTACTGGGTTGGAAATACGTATGTCTCTCTTTCTTTCACCCTTTTTTTAATTCCTTATGTTTCAATAACATTAAATGATAAATTTGTAATATGAGATGTTAATAATCCACAACATCAAAATTCAGTATTATCAATATAGTGAGGATTGCTATCATTTTCGCATCATAATGTTATCAAACCAGTACCATAACTTTATTTCTAAACATGCTTAAGATACAGTATTGTATTAGTAGTAGGAACTAAATATGAATACCGTATGATATTGTCAATTTAGTGAGTACTTGGTATCATTTTGGCAATGTAACATTACCGGACCAGTATCATAGTTCTGCTTGTAGAAATGATGTTAGCATTCATGTATTTATGGTGTTGAATCTTTGTGGGATATTGTTTTAATGAAATTTTGATTTTACTTGGAAGACTTAAGCCTCCAATATTAGCAGTGAATGGATTGTGGTGGAGGGTTTTATTTACTTTCTATAGATTGTGTTTTAGTGATTGAGTTTTACAACATGAGACATTATAGATGTATTGTAAATATTATCATAAGGGATAAGATTAGGTTTTTCGGTTCAGTTCGATTTGTTTTGAATTTTTCAGTCAAATTTGTAGATGAGTTTGGTGAAATAATTGTGTGCTCTTTTTTAAGTTGGCAGTATTTGGTCTTTATGAAAGGATTGCTGTTGATTGGTTTTTGTTCTTGCTTTACACTATGTTTTCATCTTGTACATTTTCTATTGTTTAACTGGTTAATGATCCCTAGGAGAAAGCCTATGAAGAGAGCCAGAAGTATAAAGAAGGAATGTACATCCTGGAAAAGGAAAGAATGTTGAAAGAAGGTTGGTGATGTTGTGGACACATTGGAAGAAAAAGTGAAAGGCTATCATTTTTGTATAGGAATATTTTAAAGGAGATTGTTTAAATAGGTAGTGTCTAGTGAAGGCTATCATATTTGTAGCTTTTGCAACTTCAATGGAAAGAAATTTTTGGATTATGAACATCAAATTACTAGTTCAATTTGCTAATATATTCATTTTCTTGCTTTTTTAATTGATAATTTACCGGTTCGAAAGATCCTACATAACTTTATCAAGTATTTGACATGATGTCTTCCCAGTTTGATAAGTTCATCTTAGAATGGCACTACAGAATTAGGTTTCAGATAAAGCTTTAGAGAATAGCATTGGATGTCTTTGAAGGGTCCCTAGATGAAGAGTGTGTGATAGGCCTAATCCCTAAAAGAATGGACCACCCAACAATGATATTCTTCCTCCGTTTAGATGTTGAAGGGGAATTACATCCATGAAAATGACCTGAAAGGAAGTATTGGAGCCATATTAGGGAAGTTAGGATAAGGGGTCAATCTGACCACAGATTCAGGGTCTCAGCTCTCATATAAACCCATTCTTATTTAAGACAAGTTGTTGTCAAATGCTCAATTTTATGGTGCATTTCAGTGTCAGTGGAGTGTGTCTTGGGCTCCTTTCAAGTAAATCCTATTCTTTACATCAGGGTCAGGGTCAGGGTCAGGGTCAGGGTCATGGGACCTGTACCTCTTTGAATCTTGAATCACCAATATCCTCTCTTATCCTCTATTGAGCAATTAAAACCCACCAACTCAAGTATTTGATTGGGAGAGAGAAGAATATAAATCCATCAATTTTCATGTACTCTGTACTGCACTGGCTTAATCATATTTGATTTGTAATAATCATGGTTATAAAATGCTCCTGTTATCTGTCGATAACATAAATCTACTTTTAATACACCCAGATATATATTAGGAAGACGCTGGAGATAGATTGCTGGAAAGGATAATTTTACCAAAAATATTACTATCAGATCAAAGTTGGTTTGACATCGATTTAGCACCAAACTTTGGATTCCCTGAGTAGGTAACTGTTATTAGTAGTATACAATTCAATTACAACACTCAATGATCTTTTTCCTTGTACATATTAGACTTTAAGAAAAGAAAAAAGGTGCCTTACCCTTTTAACAGGTTCAGAATCTCCAATCAAAAGTTATTTGCAAAATACAAGATTTCAGAAGTTGTAGCAAATTCCATTGCGGCAACCAAAGAAGAAAATGAACAAATACTGTGCAAGAATATTTCTTTTTTACCCTTTTTTTTTTTTCTCTCTTACTTTTGAACACCATGCTGGTTGGTTTCTGCATCTTTCATAGGCATAAGAAAAACATTTTCCTTTCTGAAAACATTTGGTAAAAAGAATATTTCATGAAACATAAAGTTTCATTTGTTGGGAAATGCATTGGCCATCTAAAATAAATCACTGTGTAGTAGCTTATTCTTTGGGACCATAGTTAAGAATCCTTGAGAATTTCACACCAATAAATCAACCAACATTTTTTCATACAGTTTCTGAATACAAAAATCACTAAAAGAGAATGAAATACTGACAAGAACCAGCAACTTTGCTGGTTAGTACAAAAGTAACAAAGAGAAGAAGAATTAAACCAAAAGGTCTAATTTTTTATGTATCAGTGTCACCAGAGAGGGATGATACAATATTCTCGTATACCTGGCAATCTGATTTTACATCTTAATCAAATCCCAAGAAAGAAAACCTATATAAAGAAAAACCAAGCTCAAACCTTACATGAAAACCCTTGTAACTGCTCTCTATAGTTTCATCAAAACAGGCGAAACCAATTAGTTCTAATCATATTTTCATATAAACGGATTTATCTCAATGAGGAAAGTGTAAGAAATTTAGTCATCACCTGCTTCACCACACCAGATATAATTCACCTACAATGACCTTTTGACACCCATATCAGAATCATCCTAGGCAGCAATTCCTGAAACAAGTGATGAACACAAGAATGTAAATACCACCGACAACTGGAACATAGTATTCAGCGTAAAAGTGAACAACATCCTTTTAAAGCTCAATAGGCATTAATGATAGGCTCAACATTATCAAATAAATAGCATATTTGACAGCAAAAATATGCAATGCCAAGAAAGCACATGCTGAGAAGGTAACAAAATAAAACAGGTCACTCACAACTAATAGTCTACTTGCATATAATCATCAAATCTGTGCTTCATTTCCTATTTGATTGATCTGTTTACCGGTTGTTCATGATCTTTTCTGGCACATCTAGCTTCTGATTAAATAATATAATATTTTTTTCATAAGTAAAAAAAATGATGTTAAGCTAATAAGAGTATCAATAGGCCATAATGTTGGTGATCAGTACAAAGGGACCCCATGCCAAGAGGCATAGGTAAGTTATACACAATAGAGAAACCAGCATTTTTCATATTATGTGCTGTTAACGTAAATCTATAGTTCATCTTTGCATTGATCAACAACTTCTTTCAAAAACTTAAAATGAACATAATAATTAACAATCACAAGAAGAAATCAAATAAATAAATAGAAGAAGGAAGGGGGTTTAAGAAAACAAGAAACATGAAAGAGTAAGCTACAGCAGAATCATCTTACCTCTATTTGGTTGTCTATTAGTAACACTATAACCACCAACATAACCAGCAGAATTTTTAGTCATAACATCTGAAGCTGCAGTTCCAAGCCCAAAACCAAAGGGGCCAGACCCCTCCAGCTCCAAAGGTGAAGATCGCCAAGTGGAATCACCATAAAAGGAACCACTTGCATAAATGTCAGCATAAGCCTCGTCATAACCACCATTTGAAACAGAAGGTGGTGTGACACCAGAGCGACTATTTCTTCCATACCCTAAAGCTCCTGACCCAAGACTTAATTCTCCAGTGCCATAACCAAGATTGTCACTACTATAAACAGAACCAGCAGCTCCACCTTGTCCAAGATTAGGAGTGGAACCCCAAAGTGCTCCAATGCTGCCAAAAGAATCCACTCCTGAAGTCCCACTTCCAAGGCCCAAAGCACTGGAGTTTGCAGAGTTTGTGGCATAACTAAGATTCCCATTTCCCCACAAACTCCTACTTGGTGAATTAAGGACAGGACTATTACCTCCATTGCTCCCACCATAAGCGATGGGGCTACTATACCTGTTTGGATTTCCACCATATGGAGGGTTCAACCCACGACCATAGCCAAGGTTAGAACTAATGTTTGCACTTCCTCCATAGCCTGGGCTCAAATTTGGCTCAAAATTCAGTCCCATCCCATAACCAGGACCAATTGGGGAAAATCCACTCCGCCCAACAGTAACTGGACTGTATCTGCCATCAATTCTAACTCCATACCCTCCAACTGAACTTGGATTGTATCCCTGAGTGTAACCATTCAGGAAGCTACTGACTCTACTTGTACCATAGTTATATGAGCCCAACGGGCTGCGATTTGGCCCTGGGGATAATTCTTTGGGGACTGCTCGCTTGACTTCAACCATTTTACCATTAAGTTCATGAAAGGTTTTGAGCAACACTCTATCCACTGCTTCCTCTGAATCATAAGTAATGAATCCAAAACCTCGAGGCCTTTGAGTGTTGTGGTCGTACATAACTACGACATCTGTAATTGTCCCAAACTGATCAAAGTACTTCTTAAAGTCACCCTCTGTTACAGTGGATGCTAAACCTCCTACAAATATCTTCTTTGTGCGAGTAGGACCAGGAGACCCGTGAATGTTGTTACTGTTTCGGTTCTGAATGTTCTGATCATCCCTAGGAACAGCCTTTTTTGCCTCAACCTGATAATCGGAAAGCTAGATAATGAGAAATGAACTATAATAAATTTCGCATTTATAATATACGATTTAAACATGATGCAAAAAAAAACTGTTACTCAAAGCTTCTAAGATATACATTGTGAATGTATATGATGGGTCCTTGAAAATTATACCAGAGTAGTTCTGCTACTTTCATCATGAATTAGTGTAATTTTTGTATTGCTTGGGGTGCAAGATATGCAATATGTTTGGAGTTAGGCTAGAAGAGGCTTTGAAAACTTTATGTTCTTCATCTCAAGCGTTTTATTAATATAAAAAGTGCCCCATCTGGCCATCTCATTAATTAGTCTCGAAGAATGATTAAGCAGCTCAAAATGTTACATGAGACTTAAAGAGTTGATATCGTGGTCAACATGAAAACTGATGCAAGCCTATTTCAAAGCACCAAAATAGTAAGCATGAAGAACATCCTCCCTTACAATTTATTGAGTCCATGACACTACTTTCCATTTTTGTCACTGATTTTTGCATATGCATCTTGCAAGAAAGTTCATTAATCACTCTTATTTGAATACCCCCAACTGTCTCTTTCAAATGGATAGAACCCACATCATATCCCGAGCATATTACCGTTTGTGCTAATTGTTTAACTAAAAGTCATTCCAAAACTAATGAAGCAATCTTCTATTAGTTTTCATTTCTTTTTTGTCCAGAGAGGGCACTTTGACGATGACAGCACTCAGTAATTAATGACAAGCTATATTTCTGAAAATGAAATATCTTGAATCTTACTTGTGTTATTTTTACTCAACAGTGACATGTTAACAATCAGAAACTTATCATCAATAGTCAACAACCTACCAAAACTATTAACAAAATCAAATCATTTTTCTTTTAAACAAAAAAAACAATCATGGAACCAATAATGGCACCATAAAACAGAACACTCTAATCCCCCTCATACTCCAATCAAAATGATCATTGAATTGTATGCTATCATTCATCAAATCAAAAGAAACTTTAAATGAGAATTGAAACTTACAGTTCTACCATCTATCATGTGTTTCTGCATGACAACTCTTTCTGCAACCGCAGGGTCAGCAAAAACAATAAAACCGAAACCACGGGCACGACCTGTGGCCCGATCCTTCATGATCACAGCTTCTAAAACTTCTCCAAAAGTTTGGAAATATTCTCTTAAACGGTCCTCATTTGTGTCCCAGGAAATCCCACCAATAAACAGCTTACCAAGCTCCATTTCCATTCTACAAATCACATATCCAATCAAACATCAAATAAATATTCATCAAAACAATCATTTTATCTTATTTAAACAACAATCAATCCTTATCCTACACGAATCATACAATCATCAGCAAAACAAGACAGCACAAACTGGATCTACATATAACACAATCCAACACTTAGTTTCCAATACAAAAACACATAATGCGGATTAAACAAAGAGAAAAAGATTACCTTGTGAACAAAAATCAAGCAAAAGCTTGGAAATTTAATATGAATATCAAAGAAATGGGCAACCTTGGATTGAATCCAATAACATGGAACCGTTAAACGATCAATCAAGGATCAACCCACAACCCAGTATTCCTAAAAACGAAGCAAAAAAGTTAAAACAAAAGGATCCAATCAAAGAAACGATATAAATTATTTTTTCTTCTTTTGTAGCTAAAAATGAAAAGCAAAGAATTTCAATACCAAAGAGAGCGAACTCAGATGGGAAAGTGGGAGAATCTAAGATCTAAGAGGAGGCATAATACGAAGAGAGGGCGAGAGGCCCTCTTTTTCCTCTCTCTTTCTTTCTCTCTGTTTACTGTATTGTGATTTTTATGTAATGAATGGATTTTTTTTTTATGCTTGAAGCAGAGAGAGAAAGAGAAAGAGAGAGAAGATTTGCATGAGAGAGAAAATCAAGAGAATGGATTTGGATCAAAAATGGGTAATCATAATAATTTATATTTATAGACAAAGCTTTGGACTTTGCCTTGCCGATGTAAGAAAGTTACAAAGCTAGACGATGAAACATGGACATGGTTACTTCCCTATGTTTTCATGTTCCTCTTTAATTTAATTTAATATAATTTTCTTTCTATTTTCATTTTCAAATATACATAAATTAATTAATTAATTTAATTTAATTTTCTCTCAAAATTACATTTTATTTTATTTTCATAGTAACTATATCATCTTATGTGATGTTTTATTATCATAGTAACTAATATATCATCTTATGTGATATTTTATTATAGAGTTAATTTTATTTTTTTTACATGGCTAATTTCAACTTTTAAACTATATAATATTTTTTTTTTATTTTTTAAGAATATGATGGAAATTGCACGGTTATGATGCAATAATATTAAAATTGAGTGTTGGACATTTGAGGTGGTCCATCACCATGGGCTAATATGGTCCTCTAATTAGGTGAATAATTAGCCTTTAAATTTGTTTCAAAAATAGATAGTTTTTGGTGTTTATATTGTGGTTTGGAGTATGAACCTCTTTGTTGACCACAAAATTGTCTTAGATTAGTGGATTAGGGTTTGCTTAATTTGTCATTGAAAACCCTAATCTAAATTGGGTATATTTCAGGTTCAAATACAAATGTATATTTTTATGATTTTTTTTTTTTTTTTAACTGAGGTGTCTGGGATAACGTACTACCTCGACTATTACTCTACCTTTGTGTCCAACGGAGAATCGAACCTGAGATTATAGGTTGAAGTCATACACAGTCTCCTTGGTTCGCCCTTACCACTGAGCTACCCATAGGTGGGTAAAATTTGATATTTGAGGTATTTAGTTTGTAAAGTTCTCCAATAATGTGTAATTTTTTTTTTTTTTATTGGAATATATAGTACAAAACAAAAGTTGAAAGGGAAATGAAAAATATGAAGGAAAAATTGGAATCTCATTTGCTTTTTGGATGGAAAAAAAGTAAACAATTTAGATGATATGTGAGGAAATAAATATAAATGAATATTTTTATTTTGTCTTTTGCATCTTTTTTTTTTTTTTTAATCGGGGTGTTCAAGCGTGCACACTTTAACTAATTTTCGAGATCTATTAAACACCCGACAGGCCTTATGAGTCACAAATATAGTATATAATCACTTTGTGAGACACAAACACAAGATCTCTAAATAATCCATCTAGATGGCTAAAATCTTGCCATCTGACCTCAAATTTAAAAATTATTATTTGATGTTGAATATTATCTTAGGTGACAAGAGAAGAAGTAAGAAAGGATAAAAAATAAAAAAAATAAAAAATGAATTAAGAAAGACTTTGTCAAAGCTTTTGCTATTTCAAAGAGAAATTAATAAACAAGGTTATGGTGGCAAGCAAGAATAATAATAAAGTTTTGAAGCATATATACTTCATTAATTAATTAATCAATGCATTAACTCAAAACATGTTTACTTTCTTTGGAGGCAAGGGATGCTTCAACATTTATGCTTTTGAATTGAATAATTTGTCATTCACATGGTGATTTCCATAAAACATAGGTATTACAAAAATAGAAAACTCTTTGCCCATGATATCCGGAAGAGTCAACGGTGGGTTGTTGTGGATAATCTCTTTCAGGATTAACTGAGATACGCATACTAATCAGACACTCAGTTAACCAAAAAAACAGAAAACTGGAAAAATAGTCAGATGTAATAGTTTTTTTTTTTTTAAATTGAAATATATGACGTATATGCATTGACTTGTGATTCATCAGCACGATACCTTAGATAAGATGGATATTCAAAACAAAAATAAAAATCAAATATTTCGGAAATGTTATATCTCAATAGTACAACAAACCAATATATATTCGTATTATTATGATTTAATTGAATAAATTGAAAATCTACGTGACATTCATGTATCAACTTAGAAGGTTGCTGTGTTAGTCTCCCCTAAATATTAGTCGAAGTACGCTAATTGACTCATATGTATAATTGTGCACTAAGTCGCACTCAAAATGAGTAGGTATGGGTGGAACTTTAGAGTATAAAAATGAAGAAATTGGTGGGATGTGTGAAGACAGAAGGGATGTCTTGTTGTGCTACCACTCATCCAAAAATACAACATAAATTACATTTGGTGCACTGCCATGACGTTAATAAGGCTGCCCCTTCTTTTTGGCTTCACATTTTCCATAATTTAATATCCCAATTATCAAATCCCCTCAATTATGTGCTACATTTTATTTATAACTTATTGTTTGTTGGAGTTAATTAGTATTGTATTCATACTTAGTCGGCTGTTAATTAATTCTTAATCACTTTTAATAATGTTTTTTAAGTGTAAAACTTAGGTGCTTTCTAGTTTTCATCATCATGCTTCATTTCATATTACAAAAATGGTTTGTTGGTTAATTTTATCTAAACCTAAAGACGATGAGAAAAACTATAAAATTAATACCCTAAAATTTACGGAGTTCTTGTTTTAACCACTAATATCAAAAGAAGTGGTCTTCTTATATTAGATCAATGAATATATGTCAACTTGAGTGGGTAGCTTAGATTTAATTTTCAGAAGAGCTTTGCTAGAGAAACTGGAAAAAGAATGGTGTTACCATGTTAGGGATTTTTTTTTCACTTTTGAAATATTGGAACGGTTTATCGCACTTTTCTCGATTTAATGGCGTTCATAAGAGTTATTGAATATACCAGGTTTCATATTGACGAACCGGACATGTGATGGATCTTGGTCCAACCGTCCAGTCCAGTTTTTAAACCATGGTTTTAACCACTAATATCAAAAGAAGTGGTCATTCTTATATTACGATCAATGAAATAATATGTCAATTTAATGATTCTATTTGATAATCATTATATCAATATATAAAAATAATAATATGGCAAACCAAGGAGACTGCAAATGGTTCAACCCACAATCCTATCTACGTTCGATTCCTCATTAGACACAAAGATAGTACTTTTTCCACGGTTTACTTTGAGGGTTGCGACGGTAGATTACATGGGATAACTCCCCTTGAGGAATAACCAAAGTGCGTGTAAGCTGATCCATACCTCAATTATAAATAATAATAATAATAATACCCATAAGAAGATTATTTTTATTGAAAATAAATGAAATTGTAGACAATTAGATACAATGGGTGGATTGGAATTTTAATTTCTTAGTTGGAGAAATGACCCAATTGAAGAACTATGCCTATACCCAATAATCAAACATTAACTAAGTGTTAATTATAAATTGACTTGGATTAAGTCATGAAGGCAATGGATGCATACCAATTGGGGCTTATTGAAATGTATTAAAATTTGATTATGATTTTATCACATGGTACATAATAATTTTGCTAGGGAGTGGTTCATGTGTCCCCTAGATTCCTACCAACTTTCTGTATATATAATAATAATAAATGCTTTTATCTTTAGTAAATTTTTATGCATTTAGCTACCACTACACTAATTTATTATGCCAATTAATAGGAATAAATTTTCTTTTATGATGAAAATGTAAACCAAGCTTGTAGCACATAAACTTATTTTTTGTAATCAGGGTGTTCAGACCAGCTTAGACACTAACTAATTTTTGAGGAGAGATGTAAATCCACTGTATGACCTTCCACTTAAATCGTGGATTGATGATACTTAATCTTCATATTCACACTCCCAATTACCCTATTCATATGGTTATCTACGATGTCACATAAATTCATAATTTTAGTATATTCACTATTTTTTTATATTTAATAATACCCATCTTTGTGTAATTCTTAATTAATTATTTAATTCAACATTGACTAATTCTTAGTGTATTTCGTCAACCATTTTTATAATTGTCTAATTTTGAAAAATATTTTATTTAATTGTAAAACAAACAATATCATTACTAGCTTAGATACATTCTAAAATCTTTTTTTTTTTTTTTTTAAATTTATGTGTCTAAACCTATAAATAAATTTAATGGTTTTTTTATTTTTATTTTTACTTTGACATAATTTATGATGAAAAGTATTTTAATTTTAAATTATATCTATTTTTTTTTTAAATCTATAAATTGTTTTAATTATCTTTATAAATTTATTACAATTGTTTTTGCAAAAATAAATATAATTATATTTCCCTTCATTTCCTTGATTGAGCACTTTCCCTCTTTCATCCTTAAACCTCTGCCACTTTTCAGTTCTCACCTGCTTCTCTATCTCAAAGTCTCACCCTTAACCCTAAATTTAGCCAAGGCCAGCATGCCAAAATTTAATCTCTTTTCTTAGCAAGCAAAACCCTAAACCTTTCTCCTTCCTTGTCTCTCTTACAACCCACATGTTACTATTTCAAGCATGAAGTCTCTTATAGCTCCACCATTCGCACACACACCCTTTGTCTCTTTACCTCACAAAGGCCTCACCGTTCCCTCAAAATCCATTTTTTGTAACCCTACAACTCTGCAACCCTAAGATTTATCCACACTAAATCTGAACCCCCAATGGCTTCGCCTAAATTCCCGCTTTTTTCTGTTCAAAATCGAAGCTTGCAAACCAAGGCCTCTAATTCTTCAGCATCAGGTGAAGTTCACGTGATTGTGGACCCGGTTTGCCGGCAAAACGACCACGCTTCTTCGAAGGATCCAAGCGGAGACCGAGAAGGCAGGTATTTTATAGCTGGTTTGCTTAAATTTAGTGTTTTTGTTTTGTTTGATTATTTTATGATTTATGTGGTATGGGGTTTGGTTTGAATTTTAATCATCCATGTTTGGTTGAAAAAGGAGAGTTGTGGAATTAGTTTGAAATTTATTTTTGGTTTTGTTATTGTGTTTATGAGTCGATAGTACAATGGAAAAGGCAACAGCTTTTCACATGAAGGTCAAATTTTTGTAATTTTTGTTTTCGAGAATTTTGATGGAATAGAATGTAAAACTGTTTTTGTTCCATGGTTTGGTGGGATTGTCACGAGTGAGGTATTCCCAGCTTTCAGGTTGGCCCGTGTAAGAATTTCCGCCATTTGGATAAAACATTAAAAGGCCTTTGTTTTTCGGGGAGGTTAAGTGAAGCTATTGGGCTTTTATGGAGAACGGGAGTGAAAGTGGAACCGGGGACATATTCTCTTTTATTGCAAAGTGCATATTCATGAAAGAATATAGAAAGGGGAGAAGAATCCATGCACAAATGGTTTTGTTGGGTATGTTCCCATGAGTTTTGGAAAATAAATTGTTGATATTGTATGCAAAGTCAGGGAATCTAGTAACTGCTCATGTTCTGTTTGTAAGTTGCAGGAGAAAAGTTTAATTTCTTGGAATGCAATGATTACTGGGTATGTGCAAAAGGGCTTGAGAAGTTGGACTGGAATTTTATTATAAGTTGAGAGAAAACGGTTTGACACCGACCAATATACCTTTGCATCAGTGTTCAGAGCCTGTGCCACTTTGGCCACATTGGAGCATGGCAAACGAGCCCATGGTGTCATGATAAAGTGCAATATTGGGGAAAATGTTGTAGTTAATAGTGCCCTTATAGATATGTACTTTAAATGCAGCAGTGTTTTGATGGGCATCGGTATTTGATAAATTATTAAATAGAAATGTTGTCACGTGACTGCATTGATATCGTTATGCCCAGCAGGAAAGTAATAGAGGTTCTGGAATCATTTCAGAAGATGAGAGATGAAGGTTTCAGACCAAATTACATTACTTTTCTTGCAGTCCTTTCTGCTTGCAGCCATGGAGGTTTAGTTAGCAAAGGCTGGATTATTTCTCATGCATGACGAGGGATTATGGAATCCAACCTAGAGGGCAACATTATCAGCCATGTTGACCTTTTAGGGCAGCTGGGAAGTTGCAAGAGGCTTATGAGTTTGTTCTAAACTCACCCTGCAAGGAACATTCTGTGATATGGGGGGCTTTGCTTGGAGCATGTGAATTCATGGAGACATGAACCTGGTGAAGCTTGCAGCACAAAGTACTTGATGGATCCTGGAAATGCTGGGATTATGTGGTATTGTCTAATGCATTTGCCACAGTTGGGTCCTGGGATAATGTTGCAGATGTTAGGGGGAAGATGAGAGATATAGGGTTGATGAAGAGCCTGGTTATAGTAAATCGAAGTTCGAGGAGTGGTCCATTTCTTCCTTATGGGTGATAAATCTCATAGACATTCTGAGGAGATCTATGAATGATTAAGGAAATGACTTGTACTTTAAAGGACGCAGGCTATGTTCCTGATTTCTGTGGCAACTAGCTCAGGTTGTTGAGATTATTTCCTTCCCATACATTTCTATTTCTTTATGCTTGTTATACAATGTGGCCTTTTGAGTATTCGAAAGGCTCCACATGTCTCACCCTCAGTGCTGTTGGGAAATATAGAGAATATGGAGGACTCTTATATAGGTATGGTGCTTGAAATATGCTGTTGTTTTCTATGTGCATTACTGTCTAATTGGGCTAGTTTCTTAAGTCATCAGTTTGGTCTTGCTGTATGAGGTGGTGATATGGAGTCCTGATTATTCACGACCTCCTGTGAAATCCATTATTTGTTACTCTCTTCAATATTCACATTGGATTTCGAGTATCCATGTCATCAAAGAAGATGTTGACCTTTTTGATGCCTAAAGTATTGTTCCCTGTGCTACAATCTTCTGCTAGGTGGTAATTGAGTGTTTCAGAATCAATTTGCCATGTTGCTGAAGTCTGCTTCTGATACATTTTTGTAAAAGGAGAGATAGAAAGCCTGGGTGGTTGGCATGTGAGGTTTATTGATAAAACTCATCACATCTCTTCACTAGAAGACTAGAGGAAACAAATCATAGGATGTTCAGATGCTTCAATTCAACCATTAGAACTCCAATCACAAGTTGAGGCAAGAAAGGTTGAATTACTTTTAAGGAATCTTGCTTCTTCTTCTTCTTCTCCTTTTTTTTTTAAATATATTTTTTGTGCGTATTTATTTCTTAAGATTCTTGCTAATGTTTTCACTTATTACTTGCCCCTAACTTCACTGGCTGGTACTGAATTGCTTCTTGACCTTTTGCTTTTAAACGCTTGGATTTGTCTGTTATTTAGGTCTTATTTGAAGATCTTATTGTGCAGAAATGCATACTGTTGCTCAAACACCTAACCCTAAGACTCCGTTTTTAATTACTATGATGATTTTTGCATGTATCCTTCATGTTAACTATTATGTAGGATTTCAACAAATTTGCCTTTAATACTAAATTAAAACTTGAATAAAATATTTAAGTATTCTTGGGCTTGTTCTTACTATCCTTTGTTCTCTTTTCTGGTCTTTTATGCAGAAGTGTAGCAGTAATAAAATCCAACAAGGACACAAGATTTGGATTGGATTCTATAGTTACACATGATGGAGTGAAATTGCCATGTTGTGCATTGGCGAATTTGTCATCATTCAGACAAAAATTTGGTTGTGATGCTTATGATAAGGTAATTCAATGCAGAAATATAATGATATCTATTATGATAAAGGATGCTGCCTGATTAATATTTAATGATTAATATGATCTCTATGAATAAAAGTAGTTCCCATTTTGTAAATGGGCATTGTCTTGGTACTGGTTAGTGAAGACTGTAAAATGAAAGGCAAATCCTGTTAGAAAGAATGCTGCCCGCACATTTGTAAATCTTGATTTTGAGTGTGTATTTGTTGCTACCTTAGTTGCATTTGTAAGTTATCTTTCTGTGTAATTTCTACTCATGTCCAGTACATGGTGACAGCTAGATGTGATTGGCATTGACGAGGCTCAATTCTTTGAAGACCTTTATGATTTTTGTAGTGAAGCTGCTGATCATGATGGAAAAACTGTGATAGTTGCTGGATTGGATGGTGACTATTTGAGGTGTGATAATGTTCTGATTCTCAATCCTCGCTCTTATACTTTCAGAAGATTTAATTGCCCTTTAACATTTTTTGAATTATATTAGTCCTTTTTGATGGCGAGAAATATCTTGGCAGAAGGAGCTTTGGTTCTGTGCTTGATATAATTCCCCTGGCTGATTCTGTTACTAAATTAACCGCTCGATGCGAATTCTGCGGGAAGCGTGCTTTCTTCACCTTAAGGAAGACGAAAGAGACACAGACTGAACTGATTGGAGGATCTGATATCTACATGCCTGTATGCCGACAGCACTATGTTAGCGGACACGTAGTTGTAGAGGCTGCAAGAATTGTTCTAGGGTCGCAGAAGTCTCAATGTGAATCATGTGCAGTGTAGTTCAGCCCTTTCATGCTCGCACGAGATCCAGATTTTCCTTGAGCATTCAGCTGGATGTGTGAAAATTTGCTGTGTAGTTTGCACAGCATATTTGAACTCATTGCTTTTTGACATATAGGATCTTCATCATAGTATGCCTTGTGGCTGTGGCCCGGATAGTAATGTAGACAAAGTTGGGCTTCTTTGTCCCATCAATATGTATTTTGAAAGGGAAAAATTAGAATTAGAAATCTATGATTGTATTCAACTCTGATGATTTTTAATCCTATTGTGACACGGTTGTGGTTTGAAACTTTGAATATACAAAAGATAAGATCCTTCATAAGTTGGATTCCTGTTTCAACACCTTTATCAAGAATTTGAAATGTTTAGGCAACAACTCTCTGGCCGGCTTACTATACTATAATACTCTGGCAACCACTCTCAGTCTCGCTTCTATAATACTATTTGAATCACTCTCATTTCCATTTCTTTAATATACTATTAGACTATAATTTAAAGGTTTACCTAAGGATAATAATATTCCCGAGATAAGATTAACATAAATTCTTCCTTTAGATTACTTAATATATCAGCTACATTAATGTGGAGGTGGACTCAGCTCTGGAAAATGTAAGACTCACGACCTTTTTTCATAAACTTTATCTCACGATCTTGACGTGATAGTTTATAATTAGTCAGTTCGTAATAGATCTCATCTGGGTCCTATTTAATAAATTATTGCTAACTAATTACGATTTACCATATCGGACCAATTTTTTAGAAGAGATTCTGAGTGTAACATTACTTTTCAACTCAATCCGATTTTTAATTTTTAATTTTAAATCATGTCATGTGTAACTAAATATGGGGCTGGGCCTGGCCCGGACCGGCCCAGCCCAATATCAGAACAAAAACGAATGTATGTAACAAATGGAAGCTCGAAAACAAAACACAACGAAGTCAATGGCGTATGTACATACGAGTGTTTTTTTTTTCCTCACAGAGTCCCAGAGCTCCCTGTTTCGATACAGATTGAGTTGGCTAAAAAGGGTGCCTTTCGCTTCTTCTTTGGTTAGTTTTTGTTTCTGTATCTTTTGGCTGCTTATTTAAGACACTAATGTTAAAGACTCCAAAGCTCACTTCACTTGTGAGCAAAACCCTCCTTAAATCTCTCTTCAAAGTCCCTTGTTTTGCAGTTTACTCATCTGGGTTTATTAGCGATTCTACTATTTTTCGAAGCAATGAATCGGAATCTGATAATGAATGGGAAAGATTGCTCAAACCATTTGATATCAATGAGCTTAGAAAGTCTCTTAATAAAATAACCCCTTATCAACTATGTAAATTACTTGCATTGCCACTAGATGTTGATACGTGTATGCAGTTATTCAGTTGGGCTGGTGCCCAGAAGGGCTATTGTCATACATTTGATGTGTACTATGTGTTGATAGATAAACTTGGTGGGAATCAGGAGTTTAGGGTTATAGATGGTTTGTTATTGCAAATGAAAGAAGAGGGTATTGTTTTTAGAGAGACCCTTTTCATTTTGATTTTGAAGTATTATGGGAAAGCGGGATTCCCTGGACAAGCCACTAGGTTGTTATTGGATATGAAGAGTGTTTATGGTTGTGAACCTAGTTTTAAGTCTTATAATGTTGTGTTGGAGATATTAGTGGCTGGTAATTGTCATAATGTTGCGCCAAATGTGTTTTATGACATGTTGAGTAAGGGTGCTTCACCGACAGTTTATACTTTTGGGGTGGTGATGAAAGCACTTTGTATGGTTAATGAAGTGGATTCTGCATGCAAGCTACTTAGGGACATGACTAAACATGGATGTGTTCCGAACTCTGTGGTTTACCAGACTTTGATACACGCACTGTCCAAGAGTAATAGAGTGAATGATGCGTTGGTGCTTTTGGAGGAAATGTTTCTGATGGGTTGCATGCCAGATGTTCAGACCTTTAATGATGTTATCAATGGCCTTTGCAGAGGCAATCGAATTCTTGAAGCAGCAAAATGGGTCGATCGGATGCTTCGTCGTGGTTTCACCCCTGATGCTTTAACATATGGATTTTTAATGCATGGGTTGTGTAGAACCGGGCGAGTTGATGAAGCAAGGGCATTGTTGAACAAAGTACCTTGTCCTAATGTTGTGATTTTCAACACTGTGATTAATGGGTATGTGACAAGTGGACGTTTTGACGAAGCCAAGGATATTTTGTATAATAAAATGTTAAGCATTGGCTGTAACCCTGATGTTTTTACTTTTAACATATTGATTCATGGACTTTGTAAGCAGAGGCGTTTAGGTTCAGCTCTTGAATTGGTTAATGAGATGGCAGTGATGGGTTGTGAACCGAATGTTATCACATACACCATTTTAATTGATGGTTTTTGCAAAGAAGGAAAACTAGAGAAAGCTAATGATATCATGAATGAGATGTCAGCTAAGAGGCTTAGTTTGAATACGGTGGGATACAATTGCCTTATAAGTGCTCTGTGTAAAGCTGGAAAGGTCCATGTGGCCTTTGAATTGTTTGGTGAAATGCCAAGCAGAGGATGTAAACCTGACATTTTTACATTTAATTCTTTAATATCTGGACTGTGCAAGGATGATAAGATAGAAGATGCTTTGGGATTGTATCAGAACATGTTATTGGAGGGTGTAATTGCCAACACAGTAACTTACAACACGTTAATCCATGCTTTTCTGAGAAGAGGTGCAATCCAAGAAGCACTTAAGCTTGCAAATGATATGTTGTTTAGAGGATGCCCTCTTGATGAAATCACTTACAATGGCCTGATAAAGGCACTATGCAAAGCCGGGGCTGTTGATAAAGGGTTGGCTTTGTTTGAAGAAATGATGAGGAAGGGAGTTGTTCCCAGCAATATCTCATGCAATATATTGATTAATGGTCTCTGTAGAACTGGGAAAGTAAATACTGCCCTTGAGTTTCTAAGGGATATGATTCATCGAGGTTTGACACCTGATATAGTCACCTATAACAGTCTCATAAATGGTTTGTGCAAGATGGATCGCATTCGGGACGCTTTAAATCTCTTTGATAAATTACAAGCTGAAAGAATTTATCCTGATGTTATTACTTATAATACTTTAATCAATTGGTACTGCAAGGGGGGCCTGTTTAATGATGCTTGTTTCTTTCTACATAAAGGAGTTGAGAATGGCTTTCTACCTAATGATGTTACTTGGTATATCTTAGTCTCGAATTTTTTTAAGGGAATGGATAAGGACAGTCGGAACTTCACATATGCTGAGGATTGGTGACAGCAAGGGAACTTTCAGAAAATGGCTTCTCTCCCTTACACTTCTTCTGAGCTTGTTAAGCTTTGGAAGAGTTGCTCTGCCAGTCTGATTATAACTGACCCCTTACTTGTTTTCCTTACCTGAGACAGGTGTGCATCAATTAACCTATGGGTTGGATTTATCTTGAATATTCTGGAGGTGACAATCAGTTAGGAGCATCTTTTGGATTGGTCATCAGTCGCCTAGAATTCATTGGATGAGAACACAAGTCTTCTGAATCTTGCAAGGAGCTGCAGGTATTTTCTGATGTTATTTTTGCCTGATTTTATGCAGTGGAAGAAGTGCTTCATGTTTTTAAGAATACTCCTTAAAACACGAATTTTACTTTCTGGGGATTCTAATGAATATTACAGTGAGAGGAAAATTATCTAGACCAATTTTTGGTATGCGGAGAACCTTAATGGTCTAGTCTTACTCACAGTTAAACATTGGTAACAGTTCTTGAAGTATGGCCTGGAAGCTAACTTTCATCCTTCTGTGATTCCTCATGCTTACAGGTCAAGTTTTACAAGCATGGAAGACACTTATCTGTTCAAAGCCATGTTCTTGTCATGGTTGCAATTTACCCAATCTGTAAAGTAAAAATTTCAAAGGGAGATGTTCGCATCATCGGCAAGTGCATTGTTGCAGCATCTACTAGGACGAGCTAGATGTAGATCTTCACTGATATCAGTCCCATGTTTCTGTATTCTGTAACCACTTCATTGTAGAAGAACATAAATTGGCTGGTAGAAGTGGGACAGTGATAAACAAGTAGAAATAATGTGTCCCTTTGTAAAGTATTGTGCACTTCAGATATGTATTATGTAGACATAAATTCTCAATTACAGTTTATATGTACAAAGTACAATAGCTATGTTGATGATAAAACTTAAATATTTAGTTTGGTAGCACCATCTTGCTCAAACATTAAAAAATAAAAATTGCTTTACGGGCAAAGCAAAAAACCCTGAAGAAAAGTGATGGTTTGCTTTCGTTGAGAGTCGAACTCAAGACCTCCCGCTTACTAAACGGGTGCTCTAACCAACTGAGCTACGAAAGCTTGCTGCCTTTTGGCATTTTATTTTTAAATTATTATATTTAACTTTTTTGAAAGGAGTTATTTCACCCACGCTTGCAGAAAGTGTAGAGTTTTTTTTTTAATTCTTGATTAGGGAGTAAATGATAATGCAATATATATATATATTTCCTGCAATTAATTCTAGTATGGAATGAGTCAATCATCCATTTGATATCTTATTGAACAAAAATGGTAATGAATAGATTTATGAAGGTTTAATTACTAAAGCACCTCCTACTGGTATGTTCCGAGTTCATTTATATACTAAACTCAGATTTGAAGTTATGTTTTAGGAAAGGCTCGACAAAGTTTTATATATGTACTACTTGGAGATAAAACTAAAAGAGTCAAAATTAAAATAAGTTGTTATAGTTCAAATAGAGAGCGTATAATTTATAGACTGTACAATAAGGATCCGAATGATTAGACGGTTTTTGGATACGTTTTATACTTCATTATCTCTCAACGGTTAAATAATAACAACCCGTTTTAAAAATGTTAAACATGTCTCACAAGCAATTTGGTCTTAGGTTATGAGAATTGGCTAGCCAAGAGAACAATGAAGTTGCAAAAGCAAGAAATTTAGTTCATCACAATATGAAAACAAAGACTAATTCACAACTAAACAAAATTCATTATTAACCATTCAAAGGGTTAAAAACCTAGAATGAACATAAACTCCACTTCATCTGACAAAAAAGAAAGACTCTACAAGGCTACAAAAATACCATTCAGAACAATGGAGATGGCCGACTTAAATTGCAACCCTTGTAGGTAAATTACTGCCATCCCTATACATTTCAGTATAGAACAACAAACAGAGACAAATAACAGGACCCTATTATGGTAACACATATAATGTTCATAATTTTGAATATAAACAAGGACAGGTAACAGATTGGGGCTTGTTCCAAGACTGTACATCACACACTCCCACCAACTGGTACTCCAGCAGCAATCAGGTTGTAGAGTTTCCTTCCGTATCCAAACTGCAAATCATGATAATCTCGGAGTTCATGAAGAAGTCTCCTATGGAGGGAAATATTTTCACTCTGCAGAATTGAAAGGAGAAGTCAGAAAAGATGAATTAAAAGTTCTAAATTAGATATATGCTTAATTTTCAATGTATGATCTTCAGAGGTATAATAAGTTTTCAAGATGGAAATAATACCTTTGTGACTTTAAGTGCTGTTTGGATCACATAGTTTCCATATTTATGCCTGGCAAGGTGAAAAAGTTGGCTTCTGCTCTTCAGAAAATCTTCAACTGCATAATGTGCCATCCCTGGAGATTTCAAGCATTTCTCTACTACATGACTGCCATATTTTAACAGTGAGAGTTCCACATACTTGCCTCTAAGGATAAAGCATATCTTTTGTGTCAAGATAGGATCTCTAAGTTCTAAGACATGCTGCACAACAAAGTTCCTGGAAAATTTTCCATTGGTTAAGCACCAAAATATGCCAAGAAATTATTAATATTGACACTAAAATGGGAAGTGATCTTTACCCTGAAGGGTCCTTTGAGAGGAATGCAGCATGACAAGATATTAAATCTAGAAGTTGTGCTCTGTGTGGACCTCTCATGTCATTAATGAAATTGTTAAACGAAATACATCCCACGACATGGGTGGCTAGATCTCTAAAGTGATTTATGGCTGCAACATATAGTAACTGGAACCAAACAAGACGAAGTCATGTTGCAGCTAATATATCTAAAAGACAGTAACCATGATTGAGCTCCATTGAAGTGAAAGTACCTCATTTTGCTGATCACTGAGAGTCTCTAAACAATATATAATAACAGAAGATCCTTTTCCATTAAGCATTGTGTCTTTAAATATTCGATGTAAAGCAGAAATCACCAGCGAAATGAGGGGTGATCCCACTAGCTTTTTGATCAGCCTCTTGATGCAAAGTGAACTGCACAAAACAAGTAACTACTGACATCAGTCCTGGACAAGTACAACCATAAATAGATGACTGAAGTTTCAGATTCAGGACCATTACCCAAATTTACTGACTGAAGCTGTCAAAAACAACTCGTCATCTGACGTTATTGTCGTGGTAATCAGTCCACGCTGTTCCTCATCACATGATTCAATCAGCTTCACAAACAGATGGTGTCCATATTGGTGAGTCATCAGATAAATTGGGAAGCTATAAACCACCCCCATCATCTTATTTACAATCCTGGAATCCTTCAAACACAGTAGTTTCTGAAGGTACTCAGAGCTCCATTGATCATTACTCAGCAAAATAATATCAGAATCTTCCAAACCCAAAACTGCATTTATACCTCTAACTTCATTACTACTCAGACTTTCTTGATGACTAGCAACATAATCTTGACTTGCCATACCATTATTGTACAAATTCAAACTATTATAATCATTCGACATATAACCTCTCCCTCCCAGGGATGCACTGCCCAGATTCTGCCCAAAGGGGTTTTCTTGATTTCCCCAAAAAGACATAGAACCTACTCCAAAACCAGAATTCAAATTCACCCTCATAGTATCATCTTGAAGATTCCAAGGCATATATTGAAGATTTGCCCCTATCACATAATTAAAAAAAATAAAATAAAATCAATTCTTGACATACTTCATTCAGCAAAATCAAATCTTTACACAAAATTACACACGTAGATAAAGATTCAAGCACACAGAACATGAAAAGATACAAATTTCAAGTCCGTTAGAGGTTACCTCCAGTATTGCTGGGACAGTGGTCAGCCCAGATACTTTGTGAAAAGGGAGGAGTCATAATGGGTGGCATTGGACTTGGTTGATGGGTTCTTGAAGTTGAAGAGCCATGACCAGAAAGAGAAAGATTAATAAGAGAAAGCAAGAGGCTTTCTTCGGGGTAATTACCAGAAGCCATTGTTGTTAAATTACAGAAATTACAGGAATCAGAAGCAGCAGCAGTAGGCTGAGTGTTTTCAATGAAACTTACAGAGCAAGCAACCAATGTACACGAAGTAAACTGAAAATACAGAATCGTTTTGGGTTTATATAGTGAGGAGAAGATTGAATTCCTAGCTGTACAAGGATATAAATCAGTTTAGGATTGGCTTTCAAGATTACAAGATTCATCAAACAAACAAGAATTGCGGAGAATTACATAATTAATTATATGTGTTGAACTAGGAATGAACTTTAGTATTATACATTTTTTTTTTCTTAGAAATTATCTTTAATTCGATCATAGATAAATAATATTTGTATTAATTTCAGTATATTACTATATTTTAAATTTTAATCATTTAAAGTGTAATATATTATACACATTTTTTGTTTAATTGAATTTTACTGGTAGAACATATATATGGTGCGTTTGGTTTATTATTTTAGATAAAATTTTGGAAATAATATTGGGTAGTTGAATATGAGAGTATTACGAGGTAAAATTTAAAAATTTATAAAAAAAACCCTAGGTTTGCTAATTTAATTAAACATTCCAACATATAAAATGATAAAAACACCCCCACCACTCACAGTGCCAGATTTCGGCCACCACCGCCATAATCTGGTCGAAAAATTGCGTTACGACACAGACCGGTCGGATCTGTGTCGTAACGTGTCGATATGGCCTTTTCCGACTAGATCCACCAGGGATCTGGCCAGAAAAGGCCGTCGACGATAAAAAAAAGCCAAAGATATGGTCATCGTTTTCGGTCAACGATGGCCAAGATTTGGCCGTCATTGACCATCAACGACTGCCATTTCTTTGATCAGTGAACTATCGGCAAGTTCTGGTCGTGGTGTAGGCTGTTTTACAGATTCTGGCTACCACAGACGGTGGTTGCCGGAATCTGGCAAATATGGGTTGATGAGGGTGTTTTTATTAAATTTTAAACTTTTTTTGGGGGTATTATGAAATTAATAAACTTAAGGGGTCTAAAAGTAATTAAAAAAATATAGTAATATTTCTGGAATAATGTGTCAAACAATATTTGAAGAATAGGATTGGGAATATGGGTAGAAAATGGAGCCAAACGCACCCCATATTATTATTTTTTTTAAATATTGGTGATTTTTTTATATATATATAACATATTTAATATTATTTGTGTTGAGAATATAATGTTTTTAATTAATTTATATGTTATTAGGCATATTCACTTAGATAGCCTAAAGCAATTGATTTTGGGGGTCAAAGTGTCAAGCCGAAACGAAAAAAAGGATGAAAGTGGTAATTTCTTATTGAATTCTGAAAAATTATGGATTAAATATTTGCATGGGAAATCCTTTTCAATTCTTCAAACAATCGTATAAAACATGAATTAATGAAACATGAAACATTACCCTATCTTGATCATATATATATTAAAATGAAAAATAAAATGCAAGCATAATCTATATTTATTTCTACTCCTAAATATTCATTTGAGATGTTGGAGGTAATTAAAAAATATTTTTCACTTGATCAACCATCAAGAATTTACGATTAACAATCAAGACAATCAAATAGCGAAGAATTTAAGAGGTTGTATCTCCACCAACGACAACCTTGTCGAGCCGTTGGCCAAACAACAACCCTGTCCCAAGAGAAATTATGGATTTTTTATTGGATAATTACATATTTAAGTATATATTAAATAGTCCTATATTGTTTTTTCCTATATTGGTTTAGTTTCGAATTTGATTATACTAATTGAAGTAATGTATCAAAGTAAATATGAAATGGGATCGAGGAATTCAGTTTTTGAATAGCTGACTATGGATTTGGATATGAGCATGTAAGCAAAATGATATTGTAATTGGGTGTGATCTAATCCATGGTTTAGAGTCTGAAAAGAGACATTTTGCAAACTACTAGTTGAGATAGTCCATGACCATGAGCGGCAGCATTTGATGATGATCTGAGCGGAAACTGGACCATGAGAGATTGAGCTACTATCTCATTAGTCATTATTAGGCGGATAATCTTCAATCCGCTTCCATGAATTCAATCTCAAATTGTAAACCTCTGTTTTAAAAACCAGATCGGTCAGATCAGGACCTGATAGCTTCTCCGGTCCGGTTCAGGTCTTAGGGGTTTTTTATAATATTTTAAAATTATAAGGGTTAATTGCGGTTTTATAAGGGTGTTTTGGAGATATGTAAAAAGTTTGGGGATTAATTGTTATTTTTTGGGGTATTTTTAAAATAAATAAAAAGTTTAGGGACTAATTAAAATTTTTAAGGAGATTTTTGTAATATATTAAAATTTGAGAGATAATAGTAATTTTTTAAAAATAAAATTGTCTCTAACGTCATCAGTCCAACCGGTTGGACTGGTTGACCTGTGACTCAGACAACAAAACGGATTGCCCTCCGGTCCGGGTTTTAAAACAATGTTATAAACACAAATTTGAATACAAATAATATAATATTTGCCATTAAAATTATCTTGATCAAAACTCTGAACGATTCTCACCACTTTATAGTCATCATTTACATGATCATATCCAAATCCGTAGTGAAGCTCCATTCTCTTTAGAGGATCAAATACAAATTCAGGTGCAGTAGGTAACCTGTTATGCCGCCTTGTAAATGGATTCCATAAAACATGACCAAAATCAAAATGGTTAATGCAAAGCAACCCATTACAACATCCAACTATTGAACAAAACATCCCCGTACAAGAGCCTATTGTTGAACACTTCATTGGGTTGTCTATTGTTGTTAATAATCTATTTACCCGACCATCATCGTCAAAATAGTCCAAATATGAGTAGAGATTATCGAGATGTTCCTCTTCCTCAATGATCAGATGAATGTTGGTGTTGGATTTGATGGATTGTTGATGATGCATACTAATGAAATACTTGCTATCGATCAAATCACGCCATAACTTTGACAAACATCTAAAATGAAGAAGAGACTTTACCGGTAATCTCAAAAGTATATCTATGATTAAATCTTCACAAACTTTTGACATTCTAAATAATTAAGAATGAAATTAACAAACCACTTGCCAATTGATTCACTACTCCACCGTGATAAATGTCTAAGAAAATTCTGAAATATTGTTGTTGAAACCTGAAATAACAAAGCTTATATATGTATATAAATAGAATAAGAATCCTAATTCTACTTAATCAAGTAAACAAAATAAAATCCTAATTAATACTCAACTAATTATGATATGAGCAGTTAAATAGAATTACAGTTTTCCTAGGATTAAAATACTTAGTTGATATGCACTCAAATTTGATGAAAATCATCAAAAATTCCCCCCACCGTTAATATAAATTCTTCTAAATTTAACTTCTGGAGGGCAGTTTGTTCTTTCGGTATACTAAAAAAACTATAATAAATAAATAATCTTTTTCTCTTCTCATTACTAAAACTCTATTTTATTTTAATGGTTCTAATGCCGACGAAATTTAGCCACCCTTTGTACCTTCCATTTTCTGACTTCCTCATGTGTCCTGTCCACTACCTGATCCATCTGGCATCAATCTGAAAAGAACAAAAATACTAAACTTGAAAGATGACAGACTATATATATATATATGTTTTTTTTATTAGTGAATACTATTTCATCAAGGCACAAAATCAATATGCTGTATTGGAAATGACTTTTTTAAATCTTCATATAAATAATAGACACATGTTAAAATAACGTGATATAAAGCCATATACAATTATTAATTATTTTAAACACTGTAAAATTAGAATCCCTGATGTTGATAAATTACAAGTTACAAATGAAATTGATAAAGAGAATAAAATAATCATTACAGAATTGAGTGATCAGATTCGACAACTTCATTACACTAATAGAATGGATATTAATATCTTACTCGATCATCCAAATGAGCAACAAATCGTGTATGTTTTAACTTAAGAATAAATCATTACTGTACTTAGACAATAAGATAAATGAAATAATCATGACAATGATAGGATAAAAATATAAAAAGTTTCGTGACATAAAACTCTCTAAACATGCTTGAGAAACTAAAAATATTTTAGCTTCAACAAGAAAGTGTCCATGCTAGCAAATTATTACGCATTTGTAAATTAAAAGATATAGTAACAGCTCTAAAACATAAATAATTATCCCAAATAACTTTAGATAAATATTTTATTTTATCTTACACCTTTAATATAATATAACATATATTATATGGAGGCAACTTTTTAAAAATTAAAAAAATTATAACTTATTACAATATAAAATTTATGTTTATTTATAACTATCTTACATTAGGATTAGATTTTTTTATGACTGAATAAAATTTATTCTTATATAAAATATCAACTATGAGGTTTTATTATATTACGATAGAGTGATAATATCTAGAAATAGCTCTTGATCACCAACAACCGGCCCACCATGCCGCGTGGATTGATTGTATAGTCACTGTCCTGGTGATTGAGTGAAATAGGGTCGAAAATGGGTGTAGGAAAATGTTATTAGACGGAAGGAGAGAGAGAGAGAGAGAGAGAGAGCAAAGGAGGAAGAGAGTCACGGGTATTCAGTTCAATACCATTCCAAAAGCGCTCCAAAATGTCCGAATTAATCATTGGACCCATCACGTGCGTTCCCAACGTCCCAGACTTTATCCTTTTGGGATGTGACTACGTAAGACTGCCACGTTAGTTATGATTTCATTCAATATATATTAATAATTAACGCGGTGAAACCGAGAAAAGAGAAATCTGTTTAAAAGATTTAAATATCTGATGTTCAATATCTATTTTATGGCATTAAAGCACATATAGGTAATAGATACGGTGTTCAAAAAAATATAAAAATCGAATTGAATCGGTAATCAAATCGATAAATGAATCAAAAAATCAGTTAATCAAAAAAATAGTTCAATTACGATTTAAAAAATTCGAAAAATTGAATTTTCAGTTCGGTTATCGATTCGAAAAAAAATAAAA